ACTATATCTATTTACCTTGTGGGAACTTTGGACCTCCACGAAAAGAAACATCGAAGGCTTACAGCACTCTTCTCTGTCTTCTCCTTTCCTGTACAATACGTGTGTACACCTCACGTACTTCTTCAGAGAAGAAGGTTTGAGAGAGAAAGAAAAATAAATAAAAGCAAAAGATGGCAGCTGGAAATTTAGATAAAAAAAGAAAAGGTAATCTCGAAATCGCGCGCGAACGAGAGAGCTTCCTCTAGCTTGCAACGACACGCGAATCGCAACGGCCAAGTGGCGCGACTGAACTCAGCTGAACCGAGTCGGAGCTTAAATTACCGAAGAGAGAGAAGGTGGCGAGGGTGGTAGCAGCGGTGGTGGTGGCAGAGGCGGAACAGAGGGTGAGGATCGCGTCGTCTCCCTCGCATCGATTTACTGACTGTGGCGCGCGCTTCGCTCTTCGCCAGCGCTCGCGAAAAGCACTCCAGGAAAAGCGCGAAACAGGAAAACGCCGCGAGCTATCTCGCGAGAGAAGCGCGCTTTCAGATTCAGAAATTTTTTTCCCACATGATGTGGCGCACAAATATAGTTTGTGTTACTACTCTCTCTTTTTTTGAAAAGTTGAAACTTTCCAGAAGAAGAGGTTTTCAAATTCTCCCTTGAGTATATTGAAACCATCAATTTTCAAGAAATTGCTTTTAGGATGAATTAGGAAAATTATCAGGCTAGTAACGATTGAACACGCTCGCGCGTTTCGAAATGTAATGCGTGATTTAAAAAATGAGAGAGTAAGAAAAAGAATATTACTTTTTAAACAAATCACTTTGAAGAAAAATTGGCAGCAGATTCTGCTCGATTTCTATTTCCGATTCATCAAGTTGTTTAATATTTAAACAACTGTTATTACATCGTTTTTGTTTTATCGAATTAAATAATATGTAAAAATTTGCATTAAACAAGAAATCTCTTAATTATTTATGAGTAAAGTTCTCAAATAATATCCATTTGGAAATTTCAAACTTCTAGTCAAATATTTAACTCAAAATCAACAAATAATAATACAAATCAGTTTCAAATTATATAAAGCCTAGGAAATGTTGCTTTTTTTGTTCCATATTACTTTTAATAAGAATTGAAAACGTATATACTGTGATCGGTTCTGAAGATAGTATTATCTCTCAAGCGCAGCCAAAAGCCTCGTGGCAGAGAGAGGGCAAAAAGAGTGAAGGATACTTGAGATATTTTGTTCGAAATAAATACTACCCTTTAGAAAGTACTAGTGGCACAAAACTCACAAACTGCAGTACGGTTATATCATGCAATGAAAGTTACAATGAAATTAAATTTGAGCAATATGAGAATTGAGGAAATCAACGAATGCAATAACAAGGATCGAGAAAATTTCAGGAATATAGAAACTCGTAATGCAACTGATAAAATCTGATGAAAAACTATCCGATTTCCAAGCGACCTTATTCATTTACGCGACATGATTTAAGCGACATTTATTATATCTTTATGAAATACATCGTCGGTATATTTCATAAAAATATAGGATAACTGAAATAAAAAAAATAGGTCAATTTTAAATTATATTTGAAAATTAAAATAATGGAATTTCTATATTTTAATTAAATATTACATTAATTATTTTTATATAACATATCAAAATATTTAAAAAAATATTGAAGTTACTAATTCTAAAAGTAACATTTATATAAAATTTAAGTTAGATAGTGACTAAAGTAATCTGAAATAAAAAATAAATTTTATATTCTTATTCGCTGTACCCACAGTTATCGATTTACATAGAAAAATTCTGATGTTTTTCCAAAAAGTTTTAAACATTAAAATTTCAAAAACAGCAAAAAAGGCAGTTATTGATTACAAAAATAAAATGGTCTATCGAGAAACCGCTATCAAATAAAACTGACAAAAATTTTTTTCGAACTTTTACAGAAACCACTCTTTTTAGTGAAAATATTGGTGGAATATATTCGAAACGTATGTAAGACTTCTTTGAATACTTCTTGATGGTACATTTCACTAATCAATAACTATTAATTCCAGTAACAAGGTTCCAATAACAAAATTTATCGTAAGTGGAAAAAGATCCCTACGGGGAGAGATATTCTCGCGATCGATTCGCCTTTTCTGAAATCAGCGTTTTCTGAAATGCGATCTCAGGATGCTTAGACCCATGTTTATCGTCGATATGCTTCAACCACTATTTGCTCGTCATTGGTATGATCGTTATTTCGGTATTCATACTCCCGACTGAAATTCTCCGTGCTAATTAGGATTTGAAACTCGTGACGCGATATTCACCATTTGGCAATGATATTCCTGATAGCTGAAGGTTGTATTGTTATAATTCTTCGACGAGCAACATGCCAAAATTAAAATACCTCGAATAAAAGTAATATTTATTGTTCAAAAATTCAAATTTTCAATATTAAGAAACCAACACTATTTTTTCTAGAGATATATATTTCGTTGCACATCAAACTATAAAGATCAATTTCCTGTACGAAATATCGCATTTCAACTTAATTTATCTCATTAATATACATTGAAAGTTATATATTATTAGTGTATTAATTTAATGCACACAAAAGTGAGTTGATTATCTTGCGCTTGATTACACTCATTACTGAGACCGGCAGTGAAGAATCGTACATGTATCAAGGTTAGCGTGCGTGATTAACAATTCAAGTTTATAACTTTATTATCCTGTTTTTGAGTGCTTCATTAATAATTCGGCGAAAAAGCAAAAACGAGAATTCGCCAGGGAGAAGAGCGATTTTGCGTGCTTCATCTTGACGACCTTCTATTCCTGCGTGACACGCAAGTGATTGCGTTATCGCGCGATGGTGATCTGGCTGAGAAAAAGAAAAATATATACCTAACGAAGATAAAAAACGACGTTGATAACGATAAAAATTCGCACGGAAACGAGCGGTACGAAAACCGTTCGGGTTTCTGCTGTCGCTTCTTCTTTTTTTTCCCCTGGCGCAATGAGGACAATATATCGAGGATTTGGATTTTAACGATTTTTCAGCAGTGATGTTTTGCAGCAGTTTGCTCTCGGTGTTGTGCATGTCCTAATAAAAAAAAAAAAAATTAAAAAAACGGCGCCGACTATGTACTCTTGTCGAAAAATTTATACACTATTTTACACAAAAAAATATTACTTTAATATTTCCTTTCTTATGCTACACTTAGTGATACACTTGAAGTTTCAATGTAACGTTTTAGTCAACTAATTAATAATTGGAAAACTCAATAATAAGAAATAGAAGTAATGGCCAACAATTTCAAGATATTAACTAATCTAATCTAATCAGTTTAGTCTCAATACAATATAATTGGAGCAATGGAGAAGATGATAGCCTTTGGTATTTTTATGAAATATTAATGCTTCGCAATGATAACGTGACGAATGGACCATGCGTCTTTTTCTCACACATTTATTTCTGTGTTTTTATTCGTATACAACATCTATAAATTTTCTACTCCTAAAGTATATTTCGTGTCATCAAATACAAATAACTTGTAGTTAGAGATTTCACATAATTAGATTTTACTTTTATGAAATTTGAGTTTAAAGTTTTATTACAAAGTTTAATATAAAACTTTCTTATAAAAAGTTTCATGATGACATCCAGTTAACCATACAAATGATTCTAAACATCCTATATTTAAACATGTCGCAAGTGCCAGCTCACGAATGATAGAAGCAATTATTCTTTCATTTGCAGTTACTACTCATCAGCGAAACAATCCGACAACTTGATTCTTGCCATTATCGGTGTAATGAGTACCCGTCTGTTGTAAATTTTTAATTAAAATATTCTCCTTCAAGAGATCCTCTGAGATCTCAAGCAAAGAGGAGTCTTGACGCGGCAGGTCATGGATCCATTCAGAAATTTTGAATCTGATTACATGATAAGAGGAAAAATTCCGAGGAGCCATTGGCGGGGTAAACTGGCGAGGCAACAGATAAAAATAGTGAGAACGACGAGTCGGCCATTGCGGGGAAGACCAATATAAATCGAAACGGTTTCCTTATCTTCCATAACCGATATCTCATCGTTTCTGTGAAAAGGCAAAAGGAAGGTCGAATTCTAACGTCTCCCGCGGCAAGCACCTCTCTACAGTAATGCATAACTACACATCTAAAGAGAGATTTAGGGATTTATCTTTCCCCTATAAGACTCTCGCATTTATCAAGAAGAATTTTGTAAGAAGCGTCTTTCAATCGTGAAAGCGACTCTTTTATAGTAATTTCTTTTTATAGTAATCGTGAAAAAGAAAAAGTAGAAGTCACATCAAAATATAAAAAAAGAGCTATATAAAAGTTTCTTCCGTACTATACAAACTTTATTTAAGATAATTGCAAACTTTTCATTATTATTATTATTATTATAAAAGTTAATAAAATTACATAAGAAAATATTTTAAAAATGTATACAAAGGGTTTTAAAATCACCGGATATTGTTTTCACTAAGATTCTTTTAGTCAATGTACAATCGATTTCTTTCCAGCAAAATAGAAGCGCATAAAATAAATAAAATATATCTGATTAACTTTTAAGAAAGAAAAAGTAAATAATAAATAATAATAAAAAATAATAATCTTAATTGGAATTAGAATTTATTATATAATAAAATCTAAATTAAAAATTTAGTTAAAAATAAGTGATATTAAAAATAAAAAAATTGTTATCGCCTTCAAGATTCCTTGTTAAAAAAAATTATTATCCCTGTATTGGCCGTAAAAATTGCGATCGAAGAAACATTCGACGTTTCCGAGATTGATTCTGTATTATCTTATTTTACGGTACGTTTATTGAACTAAGTTTCTCGATTGATTAATAATTCGCGCATCAAAAATTTCATTGAGTGTAACAGGGGGAGAGTAGGTGGATGGGGCGGAGGCGATGGATACGAAAGGAGAGAAGAGAGAAGAGAGAACTTGTACTTCTAGGCAGGCTGGTTAGGGGCGCTACACCCTTGCCAACATGGCTGTCGCCGTCTGATACTCCGCACGAGTCATCACGCATCCGGATATCTGTGCCACGTCTGTTACCAAGAAAAAGCAGCGATTCGCGCAAGCGAAAAAATCACGTGAGTATAAAGGGTAGTGACAAAAATCCCGCGTCAATGCACATTCGTGAATATAAAAATCTATCCCGGAATACGAAACGAAATATTCGCGTTGAACGGAACGAATGTTATCCGACAAGGTACAGCTGCCCTGCATGGTGTGTGTGTGTGTGTGTGTGTGTGCGCGCGCGCGCGCGCGTGTATGTGTGTGTGTGTGTGTGCATGCGTGTGCGCGTGTACGTCGTGTATATCCCCATATCCTTGTATGTACAATTGCGTCGGTGTTTCGAGACGCGTGTCTACATCGGCGATCAATAAAATGATGGCGGAGAGGAGAATATTTTGACATAACGTGCGTGTATTCTTGCGCCCTAAAGACACTCCCGACATCTCATCGTCTACGTGCCATATCGTTCGATATACATGCTTGCACCCTGTTTGCACCCTTCAACTGCATCCGTGCGCTATCACCTCCCACGCACTGTCCCTTCCCGGAAGTGATCATTCTGCTCTGGCGTTATCCACTCGCCAATTGTATATCGCCCACGAGATGTCGCGTCAAGGGGGATTGATAACGTCGTGAACATTTCCTCGTTATCACCCACGTCAAACAATAAGTGGCAAACATCTTGGACGTTATGATCCAAAGAGCCAATGTCTTGGAAAAGTTAGAGATCTTAAACGTTTCATTATATTTTACAGTTTCTTAATATAAAATGTAATAAAAGACAATGTTACACGCACATACAGACACGAAGTTATGATATTGTTGAGGACACGTGCGACAAAAAGCTAATTTAGTTCGTCTGTCGATATCCTGTTAGCTCGTAATGTTCGCATTTTCAATACTTTTATGAGAGTTTCATGCCTCAGTAAGATAGCGATTAAGGTTCTTGTTTAGAGTTATAATATTTTGTTTCGTTAAGAAATACGCACAAACTTGACCTAAATAAATAATAAATAGTAGCAGACATCTTACTCATCTAACCATCAATAAGGGACGCAAACTTCGTCTTCTTCGCCCTCACAGTATTGACTTACAACGGCAAATACAATCTCGCGTGGAAATATATGGGGTGTATCAAAAACGCTTTTTCTCTAATTGCAAATTCGTTCAGAAATATTGATCTTGTTAATGAATTAAGATTTACTAGCGAACGCAGCTGCAAGCTTATGCAGAATTAGGTATTAAGAGTCGCTGTCTGAAATTGGGTCACATATCCAAAATAAATTAAAATTAATCGGTTCGCATATTTCATTTGCTTTACCAAGCTGTAAGTAAATTGCTCCTGACGTGAACATTTGAAAATTTGTTTTGTACTAATGTATAAAAATATGGGATTTATTTTTATTTATAAAGAAGATTGTTAATAAAAAGATTCTTTCGTAAATTAAGATTAAAAACTATCGTGGAACTAACGTTACGCCTTGTATACACATAATACGTAGATAATCACTCGACGTAGAGGTTTTTTTCTACGAACGTCAAAAAGTGTCATACGGTGACACGTTGTGACAACGACGAAAGTGTAGTCAGAAATTCGAATGACTCGCAAACTTTTCAGTCCGAAGCGATCGAAAGCATCTCGCGAGAAACCTTGACGTGCTTTTCACCGAGATATCCAATTACAAGCGGTAATGCATCCTCGATATGTATTCTCGACACGTACGATGTAGAATAGTATAATACGAGTGGTGCATCAAAGATTCTATACGGATATCTTGACATAATAATTAATAAAAAATTTCTACATTCTTGTTTGGGATGAATTTTTTATTTAAGAAAAGAATACATATATTCTTTAAATTTCTTGGAGTGAAATCTCACTTCAAGAAAATGAAAATGCAGCTATTTTTGGAGAAGAGTGAAAATATTTCACTTCTCGAAAAAGAGTGATAATTTTTACTCAAAAATAATATGGAATCAATCCAAATAAAATATATATACATACTAAAAGAGTCCCACCGTCAATACATCGAATTTGTGATATTTCTCGACTGTCATCAAGTTACGATGAGATATGTATTAGATTTTTAAGATAATTCATAAATGTCTTTATTAAATATTAATATAATTTTATGTATTGATTAATATCATTAACATTTTAAGTTCTCAAATTATTTTTCTCGAAACTTACGATACGCAAAAAAAATTTTGTTGTGCATTTCTTTATTTATTTTTATCTGAGAGAAATTACTATTTTCTTTTTTTAGTGCTTTCCTGCATATGAATACATATAAAATATAGAAAAAAATTTGATTTATTAAAAAATGGTTTTGGTAAATATTTCTTTGTGATTTTGAAAATTATTATAATTCCAGTTCATACTTTGATCGAAATAATTAAAGCACACTCTTGAAATCGTATTCTACATAGAATTTTTCCAAATATTGTTGAAAGAAGCAAATCTTATTGAAGGGATGCCATCAAGTCATCATCTTGCTTGATACTGGATCTCGTAGATTTTTCTCCCTGGAATCCTTTGATGACGATGTGTATCCGATTTCACCAAGAGATATCTTTCTTTATACTCTTTGATAGTCAAAATTGCGACAAAATTGATTGGAGAGACAAAATTGATCAGTTTCTTCAGAAAAGTATACACTACGACAGTTACAGTATTTACAATTCTGTCAATATTTTATAATTAATACGATCGCCGCGGCATTTCTGTTTACGTCGCGCAAATAACACAAAATTGCATAAATTTATTCGTCTGACTGATAAAACATCGTAAAAGTTTCCTCTAATTTGATGGTCAGCTTTAATGGCCGGCTTTTATCACTCTTCTGAGACGCTTTAACGACTTTCTTTTTTATTACTTTGTCACATTTATTATTCATACGTTCACTATCTGCTTCAATTTAAATGCGTTGTATTCTTAAGAAATTTATGGTTGGATGAACTTTAATTGATGTTGAAGCATAATTTATATATATGATGATAATGAATAGTATCTTCAAATTTGCATTGAACAAAAAAGGAAACTTATTTAAATCTTTGTCTAAATATTCTTCATTTGCAAAAATTTTTGCAAAGATTTTTAATGATTTTCAGAAATTATTATTATAATTATTATATAATCTCATACCTAAAGATTATATACTTTTAGAATAATTACTATTTTAAACATTAAACATTAACATACAATTTTAAATTGAAAAAAATTGATTTTATCTATTTTTTCATTGTATTTTATATCTATTTGTGTTGTATTATATGCTGTAGAGAAAAAATTTATTACTATTTAATTTTTCATCACTTTTTTCCATTTATCCCTAAAATGATGATGATAATGTTTATAACAAAATTTAAGTTTTAAAAATGAAAACGCTTGTTTCAATTAAATAGGCTAATTAAAAATAAAGAATTAGCATTTTATATTTCACTATAAAATAGCTAAATTTCTAATAGAGCTATAATAGAGACGGCCATTTTCAAACACAATATTCACTTGGCTTCGCGATCGATCATGTAACTTATGCGGTTACAATTGTTTCCATTTGTTAACATATTACGTCAGCGTGTTCTCGACACCCTACAGTCCGGAGACGCGAAAAGTTTCAATAGAGAGTATATGTTTCATCGATGAGCGAGACATAGGTAAATGATGTGGCGAGCAATGGCGTAACGTCTAACAATGTCAAGCATCGTTCGATTGTTTCAGAACAGTTTGCGATATTTGTTGCTTGTTGGAAACATATGAGACGTTGATATTTTAGAGGACCATCCATCGAGGTGACTGTTAATAGGGATTATTATGAATGGCTCCCGGTACATCCGATGTTCGATGTGTGATATCTGATATTTTCAATAGAAAGATTCGTTTTTCAGAAAGAAAAATCTCGTTAGAATCTGCAGAAAGCATGTTTCTGCATCGAATAATGTCAAATATCTGCCATCGTACATATGAATTCTCCATTACACATAATGTGTATTCTCCATTTAACGATGAGAAATGTCCACTTACTTTCCGAGAAACCTTCGCATTTTGATAAAAAAAAAAAAATTACTATTCGTATATCGAATTTGTAGTATGTGGGTTGAATAAGGAATGAATTATTAGTACTGTCACATGGAAGTTTTAAAATATCCCGAGTGCGATATTTCACTTGCACTGCACAGCTGTCATTAATGCACCGTTGAACCTAGGACACCGAATGACCCAAATCCACTAAAAATTTTACAATCGGATGTCACTGGCATTCCATCGCCGCCGGCGACACAATTATCTCTTACAAAATACGATCCGCGTTGAAAACCCAACTCGATCGGGACTTCCCATGGGAATTCAAACTGCGCATTCGTTCCAAACGACTTTTATGCTACGTCAAAGCGTTAACTGTATTGCTTCTGGCGTGCCAGGAAATAATAATGCCAAGAAATAATGGAACGTTTATATATAACGCTTATATGTTGACGCTAAACAAATGAAATAATTCCATTATATTAACGAGTCACGCCACTTTTTTTTCGGCCCTGAAACTCCTGCTTTCTATTTCGATTCTCGTAAATGTCCCTTTAGGGCCTTTAAAACCAGAGACCTCGTTTACAAGAGAGGTTTGACAAGGACGTGCGCGTAGGATTGGGAGAAACTGACAGATAAATCCTTTCTCGCATTTCTCTATTTGATACATTACAACCGGAAGGTGATGTCGATTAATCATTATACAACAGACGAACAGTAATCATCTTTATAAATTACTCTTCGATTTGCGCTTGATGGAATATTCATAAGATCCTGACATTCTCTGCTACTTGAAAAAGTTTTAATAAGATCGCACAATACACGTTGCCCGCTATGATTTTTCAAATAATTCACATTTTTTCTTATAAAACTTGCAACCTCGTATTTACATCTCATGACAATATAATACAATAGCAATGAATAACTATCCATTTGAGAAACAGCGGTATTAATAAAAAGATTTGTTAACTGTAATATATTTCTTTCGTTAATCCTAATTCAGTATTTGTGTCGAAATTTCTTTATTATAGTATTAATGAATCTAGTATTTTAAATTAATATATATATTTGCTTAAAATTAACGTAACAATTTGTTTTTTTCATTTTCAAAGTCAAAATCCGAGGAATAAGATTATGTAATTTAAAATTGTGTGAAAAACATTTGTTATAAACAATTTTTCACATCATAGTTGAAGAAAATGTTCACTAGAATACCGATAAGAATTAATATTATTTCACAATGGATTATTTAGCAACGATTGACTCAAATTCTTTATCTTAATAAATCAAATTGCTAGACGTTTTTGAGAAAAGATTGATTGTAAATTACTAAACATAAGTAGCATTCTTCTCGCAATTTTCTTCAGAAACGCCAACCAAACTGTATGAAAAAAAAAAAGTAAAGAAAAGGAAAATACAAGCTAGAATATTGCGCACTTACAAACACGCATCTAGCAAAACTGAGATGTAAACACGCGGAGTTACCGTAATGGAACGAGAAAACAGAGAAACGAGTGAAAATGCACCGAGCGGAAGACAGACGCGACTCCTAGATATACACATATAGAGATTGCCAAGTAAAGAGGGAGAGAGAGGGATCGGTTGAATAGGTACCCCCTGGACAGGGATGAAAGTGGCAAGGGGTGGATGAAGCCAAGCGAGAAGGAAACTAGGACGAGAGGTGTTGGCCCAGGATGGGAGTGCGTTGGTACTAGCTCGGGCCACTGACACGCCGTCCAGTCCTGCGCAGGAGAAGGGAGAGGGGGAGGGGAAGGGGGAGGGAAAGAAAGGAGCGAGAGGGTGGATGAAAACGCGTGGATTCTCACCTCTCTCACCGAACGATGCAACCTACTTTGTCGCCTGTTTCATTTGTACGATAAAACGTCGCCCTATCCGTCTATCTTATCCGTTGAGCAGTGATTTCTGTCCAGATGGAATTTTTCATCAGAGTTTTACGCTCGCCTGTTTGTTTGCACGAGTTACATTTCACATTCCGATTAAAACTTGGTTGTGTTCCACGCGTGCGACGGAGTTTTCTGTATTAAATTAAATATTTTTGATAATTAAATATCTTCGGAATTAATTGATTATACAGAATGAAATATGCAAGTTTCTTTATTCCCGCTGTAACTGATACAAAACTTCCGTTAAATTTTCTTAATCCTCTGTTAAAGTTAAGTTTGAGAAGCGTAGCTTCCTCAAGTTCTCGAATACTTTTAAGCTCTCGTTATCTTTTGTTCAAGCGCGATGGTCTTCGTACTTTCTTCGCAATCACGCTAAGAATTGTAATTCTAGCGTTATGTCTCCACGTGCATGAACGAAAGGAAAAAGATTATTTCGAGAGATGCAATTCCGTTGCAAGGAACGATACTGTTCAAAATGCCGAATGATCTCCGTCACTCGCCAAATCTCAACAACAGTTGCCGTTCATGGCATCTCGACACGTCCGGCCGCAAATAGGTTTGTTCCACTTGCGAATACGTATCGGAAAACAGTCTGCACTATTGTTCTTGACTTTGTCAGCCGCAAGAATCCGGTGACACAATTTGAACATCGATAGGAGGCCTGACCTTAAGTAGAACTTACTTCGTTTACGGGAGAGATGCGATGGATGATTTCTAGTTCAGTCTTTATTAGCTTATCGATTTATCTGATGGTTTCACTCCAACATGACGATGAAGATTAGCACTTCAATCTTCTGTGTTTATCGGAAACTTGCAACATGAAATTCGGAATCTTATTATCCTTCATCCATCACGTTCAATAATGAAATTCAGTTAATTAACAACGGCTCCAACAAATTCAGTTTGGATTGAAATATCAATGTGCGCACACGATCTTATTAATAATGTTTTAATAGTAATTCCGAAAGTTGATTTTATATTTTATTTGAAGCAGAAAACTAACGGCGATGGCAAATATTATTTTCACGCGTCGCGCAGCATCAAATCGAAATGATAATATCGAGCGGCACAACGTGCCAAAATCATCGTTCGGGCTCGTCCTCGATTCCATCGACCTCTCCTTTCCGAAAGGAGCTTAAGGGCGGGGTAAGCTTCGCGTCTATAAAGTCGGCCGCAAATGCACCAAGTCGAGTGGCGGCGGTAACTCGGTCAGTAGGTCAACGACAGATGCATCCGGTGCAGTTGCGTGATCTCGCGGGTGTAGAGTAAAGTTCTCGTTCCGAGCTGAGTCACCTATTTCAAACTTCAAGTTGAAAAATTTCAAGTTGTTATCAATCAAAAACGAAGTTTTCATTTTTCTCCTCCATTTTACATCTCCGGTCCGCGCGCGTATTGATTTCCAATTTTTTTTTTATTTTATTTTTTTGGCTATTCTACTCGGATCTTGCATTCTTGTCAATTATTACAAAATTCTTTTTTTTTTTTTTTTTTTTTTCATTAAAGTTAACGTATCTCTTACTTCTTTCTTTTCAACGTGTTGTTTACATAAATTCTCATATTAAATACCGCAGACTTGTGCAACTATTATTTTAAAAATTGGCTTCTATAAAATGTAGAAACAAACATTTCACTTTATATCCGCGAATCCTCGAATATGCTCGTTACTTTTGCAAAATGACTTGTTGAAAAATTCATCTCGCGGATTAATTCGCAAATGAAAACTCGTCCTCTTCGTAGGCCACGAGAACGAAGAAATTCGTCAAGCTGGCGCCGTTCAAGCTCCGTTTCTCGAAGATGCTGAAATCGCGCAGTTCCGGCGATAGTCGCAGCAACAGCGTGGAATCCGAGGAACAGCAGCGGCAAATTAATCAGTCGTTGCCGTCAGGTACAGACGAGTTTGCGGATGCACCCGAGACGGAAACGGACAAGAATTGTTTGTCGGTTAGAAACGAGCAAACAATTCCCAGCTCACCTCCACCCTCGTACGAACACGTTCTCGAAGAGGTGAGTGCGCCATATCTCGGATGGAAATTTAATTGATCGTTCTCGATACGGATTATATACCATATGGGACGACTAAAAAATAATATAGTCGACATTCTCGATTGCGTCAATCGAGAACTGTTTACGCGATCCGAATTCAGTTTCAAGGATTATACGCATAGCAATCCTACGAATATATCGAATAATTCTACCTGGGGTATATCGCGGAATACAAAACATGCGGCCCGAAGCGAGGTCGATATCCATGACAGTTCACCGATGGAAAATATAACGCGCGGGATTAACGATATACACGTGGACTGTGTAGTTACCTATGATCCGCTGTGTGATAATTCGCGCCACGTTGTCCATACATCGCATTGTAACAAATAGTCGCGTCATACGTACAGCTATAGCCAGTAGCGATCACTTGTCACAGGCTGCATTCTATCAAAGCATTTCACTCACGCGTATAAAATATCGCTTCACATAATTTCTTATTAATGACAAATTCGGAATTTCGGCATCCCGAAGTTCAATATTTTTTGCCCTTATCCTATCACTTTTCCTTTTTTCTCAATTATAAAAATATTATTATTTAGACACGAATGGAATCATCGGCCATTGCTCTACGAGAAGGAAAAGGCTCTACAAAGGAGGGAAATATGGAAAAGCAGATTCCCAGTAACGAAAAAAGTACGGAGGACGCTGAAGATGGTGATGGAGGTGATGATGGCAGTGGCGGTCAAAGAGGTGGGGACAGAAAAGCCAAGAAAATACTTCATAAATCGAGCAAAGAATTCTACAAGGCGATGGCAAAGCAGTGGGGCATAACTTGCAAAATGAGTGATCATTGCAGATGTTTGGATTGCCAGGTATATTTGTAAAGTTTTTCCTATTATTCGAGATGAGGTTTAGATAGATTCGAGTCTCGAAAATTTTCAGAATTAAAAAAAGAAAAAAATAAATTGGACCGAGATTAGGTCCACCTATTCATACATGTACATCTAATATCATACACATAAGAATAGGTGGACAAGGACTTCTTGACATCATTTTTGTCTCTTTCTATCACATGCAAAATAATCGAAGTGAGTAGTCTAGATTTACTTCTCATTTGATGACAAAGTCGACGCAAGTGTCGTTCTACTTTTGTTACTTATTGAATGCCAAGAAAGATAGAATGATGTTTATATCGACTTATGTCACTAAGTGAAGAAAAGCCTTTCAAAGTCTGTGATTGTATCGATATTAAAATATATAAACGTTGCAAATTTTTTGTTTTCAAACAAAACTGACGAAGAAAGAGAGAGAAATTGAAATTAGAATGATTGATCGAAATAGAAATAATTTTGTTCACTCGCCGATTTCATATTTGAAATTCGGAATAGTGCAAGCTGTATCACGTCATTACAAAACGCGTTCTGTCGCAGAGCCATTACTTCGACTGCGACTATGAAAAGGACGAGCAAGCAAAGGGCGATGGCGGCCTTAGCGCCGGTACGCCGATGTTCATCTCCGAGGTGATGCATGGCACCGCCTGCGCCCTTCTTTAAATCGCCGCATACTTCCGGTTTCGCTTCTTCCCTCGACGGGAAAGATGTCTGCCTGACTACATATGTAGAAAGACGTCTACCTGATTACACGCACAAAACGGGAATCAGCGCCTAAAGAACGACGGAGGAGCTTCGCGCATTTATATTCTGTACAAGATACGCAATGTCATTGATGAGACATCTGCGTGTATTTCAACGTAAGAAAAAGAAAGAGAAGCTACTCATGCGCGCGATGAAATATAAGGGAAATATCGTACGCTTTACGGCATACAAAGATGCGAGATAAATTATTTTGAGATTAGACTACTAAGTCTGTGTACACAAGAGCACATCAAAGACAACCAATGTATAATTACGCTGCTCTTATACGAAAAGGAAACAAAAGGGAAATTCTTGCTTCTTCTTTGCATAAGAGCTGTTCGTCGGACATAAAATAAAATAGAAGAAGATACATTTGAACAGTATACAATTTTGAACAATTTGAATGTCATCTTCCAATAAAAGGTTTTCAACATCTTTTTACGCTTTTGAAAATCTCTTTTAAGAATCTAAAGAACACTGAAAATTTTCTATTGCCATATATTTAAATTGTTTAAATATGGCCTAACATTCAAATGTATCCTCATCTTTTTTGCAGACTTATTTTTTCAGCATTCGATGTAATATGTGTCATACTACGTTGCAAAGAGCCGTATCAACTAGCGCAACGTGCAAGGCCACTTTATGGTAACATTGCGACGCGAGTCGTTTATCTTTATCGTGATTTAAAGATTTGTTAAGAATGGTACTTCAAGATTAAACGTAGAGAGTCATCGATGTGCGCTTTATAACTGTCAATTGCATTGCACTCGTTCCAGTTGGAGTTTTACGACAGAGTGACAGAGTTAAAAAGACACACACACATACACATGAAAAAACAGATAAAGCGCCTTAATTCGAATATTCAATTATCATTTTTTAAAATAACATAATTGATTAATTACAAAATTTTCTCATTAATTTCTACAATATATTGAAATTTCCCTCTCGAGTTTTAAGAAATAAAAAAGTAAATAGAATAATATTTAACCTTCCGGAGCTGAAAATCTGTAACACAGCTACTGGCGCTAAATTTGTAAGACTCGTTTAACGTAAAGGCAATGTTAATTAAAAGGCACTAATTAAGAAGCCAAAATAACATAACTCATATAAAAAATGAATACTAAATATATCGTTTACACTGCTACAAATTTAACACTGCTACGAATTTAAGATTTTAAATTCTTGACTTTATTTTGAATCTTTATATAATTCATTGATCATCTTTAATTCATTGATAGCATCACTGTTGTACACATGCTTGGCTGTTCGATTCATTTTCAAAGTTTCGTTTTCGCCCTTACATCTTTGGAACTTTCATAAACACTCAGCCTTGAAACTCTCTTCAATGTTTGTCCGGAAAACATGAGATTATCGTATATTACACATAACATCGCTGAGGATGACTCGAAGCAGAGCTGAAACGTCCAATCGTTCTCTATGTATTATTTAAAAAAAAATACAATATATAATTTACACATCGTTTACTGCGCTGTACTTTCATTGCCAATTATTATTATACATTCTTATATTTTTAAAAAATATTTTAATAAGAATAATCCAAATGTATATCCATTTGCATAAATGTAACATAAAGAAAATTGAATTGTTTGACAGAAATTTATAATTGAGTAAATTCAATAGATTCATCATCTATTCCGGAGGGTTAAACTTTATTACTCTTATTTAATGGCATGTACTTAAGATATTATAAAGAAAGAGAATCCATACTAGAACATGAAAAATCTAATAAAATCCTCGTATATGAGCGCAGAGAATCAGTTATTCCATTATTGGATGAGACGCAGGTTTCATATATTCTCCCGTAAAAATTCGAACGATAAAAATCATCTTACGTCGAAATTCTTTTATACCGACTTACGCATTCAAAATACGTGTATTTTCCATTATCCTCGTTGTATCGAGCATAACAATAATTACATCGACAGTTGTACGACAGTAATTACATTAACAGTAATTACGTTGTATGAATTGCAATTTCATATCGCGTTAAATCTACATTAAAAGAAAACCGAATATACGATTTTTATAACAATCGGCCTTCGGTAATTTCCAATACTGTTTTTCAACACGCGAAATTATTTGTCCAGCGTTGGATCTTTCGAGCCTGTACACTTTGAACTTTGTAATTTCATTGTAAGACAAGTTTTTGGTATTACGTATACTGTGTATATATATCAAGATTCTAAATGATACTACGCGAATGCGCCGACTTATCCAGACTTATCGTCGAATGTAGGTCACTATCAGATAAAACAAGATGTTTTCCATATTGTTTACGCGTGTCAAAAGGAACTAATGAATAATATACTCGCGCCGAAAGAACTCCAATCCTTTGTAAAGTTCTTTTAAAAGGAACGAGTGTTGGGAAGTGCAAAGACCTCTTACAGTTTTCTATCGGGGAGAAAAGTAGTTAAATAACTAACATATGTTAAGTGTAGTGATTTTCCTTGAAGATACGTTCGAAGAAATCGAAAACTCATGAAACACATGAAAGTATTTTAGATGAGATCGTCGAATTCGCGAGCTCGACGACGTTAATCGTGGACCCTTCAAGGGCAAAGTAGTGAGACAGTGATCGAAAAGAATTCCAGCGAAACATAACACACAGTACCTGCCTACACTTGTTTTTACGAGAATCATTTCTTTTATATCTCACAGCGCGAAAGGGAGACAACTATACGCAGACTACACGATATTGCCGTACTTCCTTTTATACAGAATGTCCCCAAAATACTTGTACTCGTACTTCGTATCTAATCTTAAAACGAAGCCCATACGAAGTCTTTTAAAGAAATCCTGTTATCTTTTAAGTTTCGCGACTTAAAAAAATAATAAAACGTTACAAATCCTTAATTTTGTTATTCAGGAATGTTGTACAGATTGTGATTATTTATTCTTTACAATCAATTTAGATAAAATAAGTCAGTTATGAATTAAATCAAGAAATATTTAATTTAAAAAATACTGTAAAAGTATTTAAATAAATTAAAAAATTAATGTTTTATATCACATATGTATATGTATAATGTATATACATATACATATATATATCTTTTCTATTTTTAATATTTTTTATTAAATTTCAATTTTTTATTTTTATTATATATTTTTGCTAAATTTAAATGTTTTATTTTTATTATATTCTTTTTTATATGTTTCTAATGAAATATAGTACCCTATTCTTTCTACTTAAATTACATTTTAATCCGTGATTATCTTTGATTTTTTTTCTTCTATTTACTTAAATTTTCTTTCTTACTTATCTCAGAAAATGAATATTATTATCCTGTTGTTTACCGTTGAGATGTTACTCATCCTACATATGATCAAATCTTTATAATTGTTCGGTACTTGATTTTAACATAGCGGGGCTCTTTTCTTTTTTCTATCTTTTCTTTTAATTCCAAAATCGCACATTTTACAGCTGTGAATTTTGATTCTCTTCTAATATAAATCATCCCTCTAGTTATTAAATTAATTTCTTCTGTCGATATAATTCGTTATGTGTATTTCTACGAGAATATGCACTTAGGAACAAAAATCAAATTTACGCGATGTTTGCGTAAATAATTTTCTAATGAGCCATTTTTTCATTTGGAAAGTTGAAATGCGAGTGTCATCGGACATTCGTATACATATATTGCATATCGTTCGTCTGTTCGTTTATAGTATAGTATATGTATCTCTTGTGTATATCTGTGTGTGTATGTACGATACAGAGGCAAATTAGAAAATAATAAATGAAGAATATATGTCTCTGGGATATACAAGAGGAATATTAATGAATTGATTAGATCGCGATGAAGGACAGCGATGTGACTGCTTAGCGTTACAATCGGTGCTTCCGATTAACCTTATTATTACAAAGTTACTCGCTCATTGTCGAGTAAAATATATTAGTTGCATGGACGAATCACTCAATTATTCTTTTAATTTTTGATTTTAATCATCTATACATATACTCTAAAAGCATGATAAATGAAAGAATATGTAAATAAATGGTTCGGATTTCATTTACGATTTAGTCTAATTACTTTGGAGTTTATTTTTATTCAACAAGAGAACTTTTGCAAGTGAGTTACTTATATCGCTTTTTTTCTCTCATAATTTCTAACATAAAATATTTTGGCAATGCTAAGACGCATGATCAATTAAGAGCTAATATCTTTATATAATTCTCAGTACTTCATCTGTCTGCAGATATTTCGAAGTGTCAGACAGCAAATCTACCTAAGACAAATATTTATGTAATCGCCGATATTCAACCACTGCATGCGATAGAACATCGCTCATAAATCGAGCCTAGTTGGAGGAAAGCGCAATTCTTTGCGTATCGGACCATGAACTCTATAAATTCGTCGTACTGACAATTAGATTCAGTTACGATAAATCGGAATACAGTTAACCTGCAGGAAAATATGTCAACAATCGACGTCGTACGTTAGAATAGATCCGTCAATTAGTACATATTTTTCGAACAGATCTCCAGAAACAGTCGGAAAATATAGACGGAGGAGAAATGTCAATTGGTTTGTAACGAATGTGCAATTTGTACAGCAAACGTATTTCTCATTCAGCGAAATACGTCGCGAATTGGAACTGTTTCTCGCATTAAATCAGTGCTTTGCAGCCTAAGTAAAACGACGTTATAAGATCTAGTCGATGTGTGTCAATACAAAATAACTATTCTGTGTATGTATGACGTGTATAGAGAAAATGTGTAATACGGCAGAAATTGTTGTATAGAAAATATTGAATGTAAAATCGATGTATTCTAACAAACAGCACCAATAAACAAGGCCTAAATGGTAAGTGATGTCTTATTGCGTCATTTCCAGCGTGTTAATCAACCTTCTCTCTGTGTATAGCGATGCAAATACATCTCACGCTAATAAAAATCTAAAGTTTTCTTAGGAATGTTTCTTAAAATATTTGTACACAGAGAGAAAATGAATGTTCTTATTGCGATAATTGGAAGTTCTATCGCCTGTCGATGAGCAATTCTTTGCCGCTATGTATGTTCGGAGCTCGAAATCCAGGAGTATGAAAAATATTTTACATTTTGAGAGAATTTGTTTAAATTAAATGCAATCGTTACTTATAATATTATATATAAATGTAGTGAAATATAATCTTTGATATCAATTAACGCGGGATAACGCACGCATTGAACTTTCCATTCTGCGAATGTTTAATCGACTCTATCATCATTCTCTATTTATAAACTTCATAAATGAAGAGCGTGACGTCAAGCAAAGTGACGTGAGTTTCAGAGAGATCGACACGCATGTCCGGGAATTGAAATGTCCAACAGGTGGTTCGTAGGCCATAATTCGTCTATTGCATTTCCTTGTGAAATCTGCTGATATGGCGCAAAAAAAAAAAAAAGAAACTTCGGATTAATGCGAAGAGTCACATTTAGCTGGAACGAGTCCGGGTTTCCGGTGACATCACAATCATGCAGTTGACTCCTCGGAAAGAATCACGTTGCCTTGCATCCGCGTGTCGAGCATTTGCGCACGTATTTCTCTCTCTCTCTCTCTCTCTCTCTCTCTCCTCCTCCTCTCCCTTTCTTTTCCTCTACGATCACTGAAATTCTTTATTCTCACTTTTTTGTGAACTCAGGTTCATTTTTATGGTTGTCTACCAACAATAAAAGCATCTCATAGAAAATCTTAGGGATGTTCTTTCCTTACAACTATTTTATATCTATCGTACATCTCTATTTTACACTTAAGATTCTAAACAAACAATAAATCTCATTAATATTCAAACAATGAACAATGTTTTCCGGAAAGTGTGAAATATCGATAAATACTCTGAAATGCGAGCAAATGTGTTCCGTTTATCAAATTTGACAATAGCGAGATTTCAAGAAGCAATCGTTCGTTTGAGCTTAATTAATTAATTAAAGAAATAAAATATGTATCGTGGATAGATTTAATATTGTTCTTTGCAAAATCATTCGACGCGGTTCATTTAAAAATTACTTCAAATTTTGAACGCAGTGTGACAAAGTCTATATTTTAAAACATCGAAGAACTTTATAGCGTTGTTCAACTGTGATCAGAATATTCAAGAAAAGGCTCGAGCATCAGTCGAAGGCCATTATGCACTATACGTCTGGCGACAGTATCGTTTGTTAAACGACAGTCGTCTCTGCCATTTGCTTAAGTTTCCTCCTTCTCTGCCACATAACTCTCTCTTTCTTAAGCCAGTTATATCATATCTCTCTCCGCCTATCTGTCTCTCTTTCTCTCTCTCTCTCATTCTATCAGTCTCCCCCGCAGTCCGCGTCTCTCGACACGCTGTCGTTCTCCTTCTCCTGCTAACACACCGCTTGCGTATTTGTCGGTCGGTTGGTCTGGTCCCTTCTTTCTAGTGTGTTTGTGCTCAGTTAGCTCAGTATCGCATTATGCTACGGTCAGACTGCGTCGCAGGGTGCTGCAATTGTGTCGTGTCAGTGCCGCGCCAACCGAATCGTTTCGCTTCCCGCAGTGCACCCTCGATTGAATTTACCGGCGGGAATTCCTGCGGTGCGCACGGGCAGCCGCTGGCATGCGACTGGCGGGAAAATGGGAAAGACCGCCAGCAAACTGAAGTCGCGGAGAAGCCAAAGTCAGTGCGAATTTTCCTACACCACTCGCCACGTAGTACGTGGCATGTGGTCTCCCATTTGCGTACTCGTCGTTTGTTTCTTCAAGTTAGAATTTCTTCGAGTTCGCCGCCCTTTAATAGAAAATATCAACGGGCGGTGAACCTACGATACCTATCGCGCCGAGATTTCTTGCTTACGTAACGAGGTGCGTATTTGTAGACGGAAGAAAGCGGCTCATTCAAATTTCAACAAATATTCTCTACAAGTGTTGACCGTATCACTGAATTATTTTTAATAAATCATTTTTAATAAATCATTGGTGAAAATTATTAATGTGTCGTGTAATGTGTCGTTGATATGCTGTCGAGTTTCATGTGTGCTCATGTGTCCACTGGCAAGAGAAAGGCGATAGTGCACTTATCGGCATGCCCGCGGATCGCGTTGCAGAGACACGTGTGCGCTCCGCGCTTATAATCCTCTCGTTACCTGGACTCCGCATTCGTATAAATTCGTTACAATTGCCGAGGAAAACCACGTATTCATTACGTTCGTAAAGCGTAAATGTTACGTAAATCTCACGGGTAGTGACGAGCTCGAAAGAAATATCGGTCACCGCTGATGATTCGACACGTGTGACCGCATAAAAGCCAGCGTGATTACATAATTACTGTTTAAGTGATTATGTCCCTTCCGCAATAACTGGAAATGAATTGCAAATGATTATATAGGGTGATTCACTTCAATTTTAATGAAATTGTTTTGAAAACATGCAATTTTAAAAAACGCAATTTTAAAAATTTTTTCAAATAAAAGTCTAGAACGAGAAGTCCTTCTCTATATTACATAATTTTTATTTAGAATGTTTTTTTTTCGTAAAATTGCATATTTTCGAATATATTTGCCTGTTAAGATTCAAATAAATCACTCTTTATGTGTATATATACACACACACAGCTGTATTTTAAATAGTCATTGACCTGTTTTCACGAAGAACGAATATACAAATCTCGATACATTTATCGTCGACGCGAACTCAATCGTGTAATGTTTCAAATTGAAGTGGATTGAATTATCATTCTGAATCGAAGCTCAAAACTAATCCGAATAGAATCTGATATCTATCAGGAAGACTGATTGATCATGTTATGAACGATTTCCAGTCAGACGGATAAAAAAAAAACAGAGATTAAAGAAAAGAATTAGATAATTGTTTTCAATAATTTGCGCACTGAAATCTACATACAATAAATATATATAACTGATCACGCATCATATTTGCGTGCATGATGTCGTAAGACGTAAGATCGCGGTGAAAGTAGAACTTTTCGCTCTGTTCGAACGCGATGTGTAATTTACACGCCATTACATAAATCATATTCTATCCCTATCATTATTTTGAAAACCGTGAAAGAGAACGCGCATTTCTCGCAGTGCTGAAAGTCTCGACAAACGGCTCGTTTTGATTGTCTTTCTCTCCGTACGAACACGACTCGATTGAAATTCCTCTTGCGAAGTACGTGCGTGTAATTATACAACGACAAAGGAAACAGAGACCTTTTGGGCGCAAGTTACATTCAGGTAAATGTACTGTTTGATGAAAGTAAACGTTGACATTTAAAAACATACGCATGGCATTCTCACGTTCTTGTAATAACATTCTTTACTTGGAGTTAACTGTTTAACGAAAACATTATTTTTCATTTTCTAGTTTTTAACATTAAATATTTTTACACTAATCATCAAATTACCAATCTGTGTTAATCCATAATTCATTGAAAATTAAACAAATATATATATTTATATATTTATTTATTTTTCAAAAGACAATTATTTTTCTCACTACTTAAAAGTTGTTGACACATTTAATATTTTAAGAAATCGCTAAATTAATTAAAATTATAAAAATTAGCTTAAATCTTAAGCTTTGAATAGTTTGAAAATTTTGAAAAGACTAATCAGAGTTACTCCGAAATAAAATAAACTTTATTATCACAGTTATTTTCTAAAAAGAATATCTGATTTTCTCAGTGGAATAATTTCCAAGCAAGCTAAATGTGAGAGGTAAAGAGACGAATAGATTGTGAACGTTATCAAGCGGGCTCTGCATCAAGCGGTAAAATATTTAACTTGGTTTATCTCTACAACCGTCTGCGCTACCGTGCATGATTGAAGTACAGTATGGTCTGCAGAATTTCAAAGTTTTATTTTTTTATTAAATTATGAAACAATCTTTCATAAGTACATACATATATAACTAGACATTTCATTACTAATAAATTCTATTCCCATAATTCCTATTTTTTGAATTATTTTTATCTCTCTCGTTTCCGTGCAGCATTGTTGAAAACTAGCGTATGATAAAAATTAAATTAAAAACCATATGGTTTTAAAATCATAATTATTATATAGTAATTTCATAATTGTACGAAAATTAATAACTTAGCGGTGACAGAAGCTATGCTTGGATCGTTTCTCACTTTTGCGATCGATGGCGCCTCTCTCTAAACATTGCATCGATATCTCCGGTAAACAGGGACATTATCACCATCGGCAGGTATTATGTTCGCGAGGGATACGAACAAGAAGTAGGCAGAAAAACTATATATATATTATACTTATATATATAGACAGAGCGGGAACAAGCAGGTAGACGCAGCGAGCGCAAAGGTGAGAAAGAGATATAGGCTGGGTTTAGCGAGTACGGGAGAAAGAGAAAGGCGAACGACTTTATAAACCTGCATTCCTCTACTCCGCTTTTTCAAACGCGTGCAAGCCGCTGCATCGAGAGATCGGCTACAGTTGCGATGCATTCGAGTTCTACGCGAACCGTTTACGTGCGCACATCTTATAATGCATCTCTCAATGAAATTGCGATCGCAACCATCATCCACCGTCGTGCAAAATTGTACAACGTGATGTGCACACGATCAACAGAATGGAATTTATAGATTCCACAAAGTTAGGAAATGGCGCAAGTATATGTGAGTGCACGCCGGAACACAGTAATCTTCATTTTCACGTGTCACGTCAGCCAAAGATTTATAGCAGTGCGCGAATGGAAATATCAGCCGTGAAACGTTTTATCTATAAAATTACATTGGATACGATTTGTATATACTGAATTATATGCACAGCGATCGTAAATCAAAACACTATCAGTCTTGAGACGAAGATGACAATAAGTGAAATGATATCAATTAATACAAAAGGAATTAAACAAAAATGTATTATGCAAGCAAATATGCACCTCGTTCTAAGTCGCTTTGGAATTGCTTTCTTCTAATAATATGGATGCTTTCCAATTGTTTAACACATATTGACACGTACGTAGCACGACATTGTGCACGACTCAATTGAAACTAAATGTGCATTAATGTGTATCGTGCACAGTTTCGCGAATAAAGTTGAGTTTATTATTCAATATCATTCCTTAATATTTTTGAACGATAGTGATGGGTTTCGTGATAGTGATGGAAACTGAAGAGAGAATTATGTTCCATCTCTTCCGTGTTTTTTTTTCTTTTGTTTATAACCGCCGCGTTAGTAACTATTTAATTGTCATTAAGAAACACGAGCTTACACAGCTGACTGCTGATTATAACTCTTAAATACAGATGTGTAATATTGTATCGACGATTAATCAATTGGAATGGCAATTGGAACACAATTTGTGTCGCTGTATGCGCAAAAATATCTCGGGATATTGCAATTGGAAAGCATTGGATGGTAATCGGCATTATTAGCGTATTTATCGGTGCCATTAGTATCCGATAAATCTCGCTTCATTATTCATTCGTAAATTTATTGCAGTTCTAAATTTTGTCACACTATTTCATACCTACGGCTACATTGTATACGTCCGTTGATTGAATTCGAGAGGAACGATAACACTTTCACACGTAAATTTCTTTGCGGCACATTCAGGCATAGCATGGAGCTTTCGATTCCCATCTATGGGTACTCTGCAGAACCTAGGTACCAACAGCCGACGGCGCAAACGGAATGGTCTTGCTTCGTCGGACTCGTGTAAGGATCTTCGGCAGAAGAGACACACGATACACCTGCAACCGGAAGTAATCATTCAGAAAGAGCCGTGCTTGATCGTAACTCCGCCGTCACCTGAGAATCTCGTCGAGGATAACTCCAGGTTCGTATAAAATGTTTTAAATATTGTACATACTTATATATTGAAAGCATCTAAAGTAACGAAGACATTAAGGAAATGATGTGATCGACATCAGTAAATTTTAATTTTTTAAAACTTATACAAGAATGATTTCATTAAAGTAAATAGATACTGAAAATAATTTTGGTGGATCCATCAAAATAGTATAGAAAACTTAAGCAATGCTGCAAAAAGTTTTGATATCCTAACAATCAGTTTGAAAGTCCTACATAATTATTTTAATAATTCAACAAAATTATTTTCAGGCCTGTATCTAGCTAAATTTTTCTAGATACTTCAGCAAAGTCGTTCTTTCTGTATATAATTACATTCTGGATTATTAAATTTTGCTTACTTTTTTATCTTTGGATTTCCAAAGATAAAAGGATTAAAGAGTAATATAAAACATGCGAGACGAAAGCAGGCAGAATAAGAAACACGAATAAATGAAGGTGAATAAGGGATTAGGTATCGTACAAGGGACATGGCTTTTTGCTAAAGTCGAAGATCCAAAGTTATAGCTTATATGACTTAGCCTCTTTTGAGGGTATATCGAGATACCAGTATAGGAATATAATGGGTCTGGAGACTCTCGAACCGGTTTCTCTCGATCTCTACCTTCAGAATGACGTACCCCGTTCCTGTATATGACCGGCCAACAAATGCGGGAATTCCGTAACAGGAATATAAAACCGGGAAACTATAACCGAGTCACCTGTCATCGAGAAACGATCTCGGGCATCGTGACCTATCCGAGGGAAAAATGCGTGCGTCACTCCAAGTGTTACAGGATGATTGACAGATCAAAGAAACCTATCAATCATTCTCAAAACGTTCTCTCGTGATTAATCTCGGCGATTCATACGGGAATACATCCCTCTTTCCCGGGGAAAGAAAATAAAAAGTTTGAAACAACATTGTTCAGAGAACGGGAAACACATGCGTGAATACATTTTTTTCAGGTGGCTTTCGAGATAAATCCCAGTACAAATACGGCGGTCGTGCAGTGGCAGTAATCCTCGCGAATATTACATTTACATGCGAGATATGACACTGACATTGTAGCCCGCAGGAAGATTAGATAAATGATTTTGCAGCTGCTCTTCTCCAAATTGCAATTTTCACCGACCTACTAATCAAAATCGTTCTTTGTTTTACTTATTTTAATTACACTTGTTTTGTATCAAATTAATCTATGGGTCTTATTTATAATTTAATTGTTTACATATTCGTATATGCATATATATATTTTATTTATATCTCTTACTCATATATTATTTCATTGCATCTAATGATACGAAAATTTAATTATAATTTATACAACATAAAATTATATTATCAGGAAGATTGGACGCCAATTCTTAATTGGAAAGGCAAAATTTGAAATAAAAATGATACGAAACATTATACTTTAAATTAAATGTCATGTTCTTATACGAGCAAGTACAATATCGGCTCAGAACATCTCGATGATGCCACTTATCGAACGTTTCCGGATGACGCAAGCGCACCTTGGCCGTCGACTCCCTTCATATATATATATATATATACGCAGCCCCTTGTCCGAGGAGATCAATAACCCCCGTATCGACGGAATAACCCGGTCGGAAGCGATAAAAGCAATGCACTTTTACTCTGTCTTGCGTTACATTTTTCGATATAAGAAGATACGTAACGTGAGAAGCGTCCATCGTCGACACACATCTACTTCGATATCCATCATCTGTCAAAATCACTAGCTTTGATGAACGAGAAGAAGGGGCGAGTAGAGAGGGTAGAAACGAACGAGAGCGATAACATCGCAGTAGTGTACCATTTTAGGGGTTCAAAGGTGCATAGTAATCGCGATCATTGTCATCTGACGAATGTAAAATGTGACAGACTTTAACTCTTTTTTTCATTTATCCTTATATACGAATTAAAGCACAAAAAATTTAAACTGAATAATTGTAGTACGAAGTATTATAATTTACGTAAAAAAAAAAAAAAAAAAAAAAAAAAAAAAAAAAACAATAACTGCGCGTTTCAAGTCGTCCTATGATGATTTAATGGAGTTAACAGGCCATATATGTCGAGCTACTCTCACACTAACCAGCGGCATTATTTTCTACACGCTCGTTATCCGCGACGGCATGGCCCCTCATAGCGCGAGGCCAGCTCCGTCGGATTTAACCGCTGGTTAATCGCCGACAACATGTACGGACGAACAAAGAAGTCGACGGGAAGAAAATATTTTCCTCGGCACGCGTAACCAACCTTCTCTCTCTTTTTCTCTCCTATCTTTCGCTCTTTCCTTGCGATCTATTAATATCACTCGATGGTACCCCCGCGATACCCCTGTGAAAATACGATCCTGCTTGAGTCGCTGGTCAGTGGGGTGCGTGCGTGCGCGCGCGTAGTCTCTGAACTCGAGAGTCGCGGTCAAACTCTATCCACCCGTCCAAAGAGCCGCACGGAGCTCTTCTTCTGGACGAGAGAATCGAGATCTTTGAGAGAGAGAACCTCGCCTCGGAGGTCAAGCATGAAGCGCAGAGATGTGAACGACTGAAGGTCTCGTTCTGATCGCAGGACGCCGGAGGAAGACGACGACGCGAGGGTGGATCATCGTATCTATCCTCTAAGTGAACGAGAATTACCCTCAACGAAGATACCCGAAAATAGCAATAACCTGTCTCCACTGATGGTGAGTACTCAATCATATATGGGTCATATATGTTTATCATTGAAGATTGAGTTTTGTTCATTGCTTGGAGAAATTGAGTGACATTGGATTAATCAAATTCACTGGGATTTGTCTTCGTATAATCATGAATATTCATATGTGTACTGATTTGACTAGACTTAATTAATTCGACATCGTACATTGAATGTCGCGTATATTGTCTACCCTTTGTTGATTCTCTGAAATTCGGAGTCAATTCCTAAATTCGTCGATTTCTAAAATGTTAATGTTCCTCTTAATTAAAATATTAACGTTACATTCTAGAATTAAATCAATTTTTAATTAATTTTGAAATTACATGTATTTTAAAGTAAAACCTTCAAAATTAAATGAGAAATGATAATTTTAATTTCTTCTTTTTTTTTTCTTGAAGTTTGAAGTTTAAAAGGAACACACTATTTTCATATTTACAACTAAAAAATTGATAATTTGTTCATATAAATTTTGAATTGATAAAAATATGATAAAAATACATGCTGCACTGGAATATTTTATATGTCATCGGGCTCTCAGACATATTCGCGTAATCGATCAAACACACAGTAATTATGGGTTTAAGTTGAAGCGACATCGCCACCTTTTTTGTCGTACGATATATATAGGAAGCAATTAAATAGAACGATATACTCAAGTACAAGCCATGATGGGTTGTATGATAATCAAACTATTTGACGCGTTGATGACGAGTCGCAGATGATCGACGACAATGTGACGGGGAGCTCAAGGCTGCTCTTATTAAGCCAATCTTCGCTGGACCGCAGACTCCGGTCTCTAGCATTGATTGTTACAATTGTCTTACGCGGAACGTTCGCTGTCTCTCTTCTCTCATTCCAAGTAATTAATTAACGATATGAGAATAGAGTACCGACGTAATATATTCAAATCATTTACGACAATAATCATCATTCATAGTGTTAGAGAAAAGTTCATTGATAAAATCAAGTTTTTGATTGATATTAATGGATATTTTTTTGTAATTCAAATTGCATATCTGCGATGTCTCAATTTCTTTCTATTTAAAAGAAATGTACACGTTTAAAATGAAATATACAGCACAGCATAAATTCGAAATTAAATTAGAATTAACGAAATCCAGGTAAAAAATTCCAGGTATAAAAATTCCCCCTTTTATCGGTTTTAAAGGAGCCACCTGAGGAATCCACTCGCAAACTCTTGGAAAGAGAATTGCGACTTCTCGATCCTCGAGATCTACGATCGCATGCCTGGTACCATGGCAGTACGTTGCGTGGTGGTCGAAAAGGTGCGGAGGCGGAAGTATCGAATGACGGTGATTTTTTAGTGCGCGATTGCGCCTCCCAACCCGGCAATTATGTCCTAACTGTACGATGGAAAGGTCAACCGTTACATTTCGTCATCAATCGAGTAAGTTGCCATGATTAAATCGAGGAAGATTGCTTTAAAAATCCTAATCGCAATCTAATTGTTTGGATTACGAAACATATATTTTTCTTGTACAAAGAAATTAGAAATAAGTATGTTAGCGGTATCTTTAGTTTCTTTGAATATCATCACTCGTATTCATGTTGGATAAATTGATAAAATATGTTAGAAATTTTTCCTTTTTTAATTGTTTTTCATTAAATAGATAAACATAAATAATTTATTCAATATTTAAAATGCTTTACAAATAATTCAATTTTACAATAGATTTAAAAATAATCTAATTTTTCTTGGTAGGTCGTAATTCAGCCCGATACGGTTTATGAAAGGGCGCAGTATCAGTTCGAAGATGAAGCTTTCGATACGGTCGCCGATCTAATAACCTTCTACGTTGGCAGTGGTCGCCCGATTAGCCAAGCTAGCGGAGCTCGAATCATTACTCCAAAGCCCAGATCAGTGCCACTGACATGCGTTGCAGGGCCTACGAGTAATCAACACTGTTCTAGTCCTTCCTCCACCTCTCTGTCAACTGGTTCGCCACCTCGCCTACCCAGAAAACAACAGCGCAGCCATTCTTTGACCGCTCAACATCATACTCCAGATCAGCACGTTGCTCGAGACAGCAATCAACAAACAGGGCCGCAATTACCTATCCAATCCAGTACTTTACCACGAGTACCGCCAATTCAGAACCAACCGCCCTCTTGTTCTCTGTCGTTGGGTCGTCAGAAGATCACCCGGGTGATATCGGATCCAGCGTTGCAACAGCAACAGCAACAGTCACCAAGTTTGAATCTTCAAAACACCTTGAACACAGCGCCACCTAAACCTCCCAGAGTCCCCTACGTGCCAAATCATCAGCATCATCATCATCACCATCATCATCACCACCACCATCATCATCAAAGCTATCAAGCCTCCGGTAGCGACAGCGGAAACGGATCGGGAGACAGCGAGTTCGAGACTAATAATTCTGGCGGTGCCAGTAATCCCTCTTCTTCGGTGCCAATCAAGGGCGTAGTGATACGTAGTCATTATAACACCAGTAACGACGGTATCAATGGCAATAATAACAGCGAATACGAACTATCGGTAGAAGAACAATTGGTGGTAGCCGCACCATCTCTAGAAATTACCACTATGCTCGATATCGAAGGTTTTACGACATTGCTGTTACCAACCGGCGAACACAGACCTTTGGATCCAACAGCCCTGAGGGGAGTCTCAGGAATGTTATTGGATTCAGCACCAAGAGTGCTCGCCTCTCATCTCACGAGGCTCGATCTTGAAGTGGCACTTCAACCGGGACCAGGAAATAGAAGTGGATTAAGCGGTATCGAACTGGCGACCCTTCCTCACGGTAGACAAGCTAGAATGGACCTAATTGAGAGATCTGAATGCCTGAAACTATTGGTGGCGGTGACCGTGTTGGCTGGCGCTACAGCTATAGGTAAGTTTTGAAATTTTATTTTATTTTATTTTAATTAATTTTCAGCAATGATGAATATTTATAAAAATTATTAAGAAAAAAAATATATATTTGAAGTTTACACAAAATAAGTTAAATATATATAGTTATAAATATTAAAAAGAGAGCACTTAATTTTTCTTGCTTCTAAATGACGATTATTAATATCGTAGAAAGAGCAGCTACTATCAGTAAATGGATCAAAGTAGCAATCGACACTAAAACCGCGCTCGGCAATCTTTATGGCTTCTGTGGCGTAATGCTCGGTCTATGCTTACCGCAAATTCAGAGACTGGCCAATACATGGCACTTACTACGACAAAAACATACGGACGAAGCTTTCAGTTTCGAAGCGAAATTGAGACCTACTCTACGGGCTATGAACGAATGTACCAATCCGCAGGCGCCTAATACAACGTTGCCACATTTGCTACCGATTGCACTACTTGGTGAACGTAGTCCCGAAGATGTTTTAGGTAGTAAAAAATAATTATATACTAAAATTATTTGCAAAATAAGTAATCAGTGAATAAACAGAAGATATCCTTCGTTTGCACACTCATCTTATAATTGTTTTAAATACAGATATCTATATTTATTCGCGTATCTTTTTCGTCATTATTAATTGTTAATTTACTTTCTTTTTTTCTTTTAATACTATATCATTTTCTCATTCAACAAAATTTATTATAGGTACCGTAGCACCTTTCGGACTCACAGCAGCGATTCTTTCACCATGGGAAAATTCGGCATCTGATTGCGGTCTATCAATCGTCTGGTCGCATCTTGAGGCTGCTCGCAAGCTAGCCGATAGTTTGCCGCTTTTTCGCAGAAATGCGGAAATTGTCTTAGAAGGTTGCAGGAATGATGAATTACTATCGGACGCCTTTCGTACTGAATTTCACATCAAGTTCTTATGGGGCAGCCGCGGTGCTACTGTCGCTCCGGAAGAACGTCATTTGAAGTTTATTCAAGTCTTAGACGCAATGTACGACAAGTGTGCGGCGAGCGAAGTGGCCGCTTAAAAAATAAACCAAAGGATCTCAAAGATCTGAATAGAGAGAGTCTGGAAGAGGTAATTCTCTATATGAGAGTTTATCCTCTTCCTCGAAATGCGGGAAATATCACCGTTACGGATTTTTTTTTAGATTTTTATAGCTTCGAATGCGTCGGCTAACACGATACCACAAGAAATTAAAACATCCCATGCATTAATGAAGAGCCACCTTATTGCTACTATATATAATCCCAAATCGTAGAGCATGTCTCTAAAATATCGAATGTTCTTCCTAAACCTAATGCTTGTTTTGAGTCGTGTAAGCAACAGCATCCAAAGAATTGATCGAGAGACTTGATTGAAGCCTACATACGTATCGTCAACTGTACTTAACTTTAATTGACAATGTAATTCTATAATGTTATGTTGTAAGTGTTGTTCATATTTGTTCATACTTAATATACAGATTTAAAAAATTTCTCGTGATTTTCATCAAGGTACCTTCATTAATACTCTGAAATAGATTTATAAAATGTTACATTTGCAATATTTACGGATCCATTAACTAAAATTAAAATTTTAATTAAATTAAAATTAATAATTAATAGATTAAATTAATAATTAAAAAAATAATTAATAAAGTAGATTAAATTAATAATTAATAAAGCTTGAAGCTACACAAGTCATTATCTTAATTATATTGGGTCATCTAAAAAGTATCCGCGGTTTTTTGTCACTAGATGTGTGTTGATGGTCATATATCTAGTGACGAAGTACCGCGGATACTTTTTAGATGACCCAATATTAATTTACGAAATACAAATGAAAAATTCAAATTAAATTAATCTCACGCCAAAAAAATAATGTTTCTAAAAATAATTATTTACTCGCTCCAGATATTTAACTTAATTTTTATTATTTTTTACTTTATTCAAAAGAAAGATATTACTAAAATAGTTATAATTAAAATAGTACATAATATGTACTAAAATAGTACATAATTTCTCTCCTAAAAGTATATATAAACGTTTCTAACGTTTCATAAATAAGAATCTTCTAATTTTCGTTTTTAAATTATCCAAATAAATAAGAATAAATAGTTTATTCTACAAGTAACATATATAAAAATTAAAAAGTAATGAATTACTCACCGTTTTTTGTTGTCGCTCTGTGCCTTCCATGTGGGTCTTCTCTTTTTTCCTTTCCGCCAATTTTTCGTTGCAGTTTCTTTCATTCTTTATAACTCTTGACACTTTCAAAAACACAATTAATTATCACGAATATATTAATTACAAAAATACGATAATCGCGCGGCGTTTTCTGTGGCACTCATAATAATACATAACCGATGTAAAATCCTGCAAAATATTCGAAATATTAGGTCTGTTCATATTGAGTGCATTCAGTACTACAACTGCTCAGTGCGCTCTTGCATCTGATTGGAATATTCCGTTAGATCTAAAAGTAGCCCAAACAGGTATGGACCGTAACAAGAGCTCCTTAAAATATATATTACTGGAAGGAGCAGGGCTGAGAGAGAACATGACTAAAGCTCTAAATACCAAAGTAGCATAGGTCCTTCATTTTGGACCTACTAACCATACCCTATACTAATAATAAGCGTTTATTGGACTACAGACAACTAAATCGAAATGGCGGTCGAAATAGCCAATAGAAAGGCTGTCGGCATTTCGGCTTAGATAAAAGGAATGCAGTACTTTGATATCTAGAGCTTTAGACATGACGGCCCAAAACCTGTAACCGCAAAATGCTGCCGCGTACTACTCTGGCAAAGTGGACGTAAACTACATAGCAAATATCGATTTATCATTTCCAGCTTTGAAAAGTAGACGATGTACTCTAATGGCTTTTGCACACTGGACGCGAAAACGTTGGCCGCAGGGCAAAATGTGATGCGATAGCCAATAAGCTTACAGCTCCTAATTGTTCATTGGTTATCTCGTCTCACTTGCCGCGCGGCAAGTGTTTCTGTGTCCAGTGTGCAGGAACCATAAGAAAAGTAGCTATGTAGAAAAGCTCACTGAGCTTCGGCCGTAGCACCGAATGCACCCATGACACTCCAATATCTTCAATTTCTTTTCAACGCCAAAATATACATTTATTTTATTTTAAGTGTAAAAATTTCAAGCAACAACAGAGTATTGTCCCATGACAATTAGAATGTCAGAAAATGACTGAGAATTTCGAAAAAATAATAGAAACAATTAGATTAGCGCATTACACGAACGCGCAAAATTTAAATTATTTTGATTACTTTGTCGAGATTTTTTTCGAAATTTCAACTGTCATGGGAAAGTACTCTTATAAGAGTGATTAGAATTAGTTAGAGAAAAAAGACAGTCAAAATTACGATCGATATTCACAATTGGTTTTATTTTAAAATTATTTTAAGTAATATCTTAATAAATATTTTTTTAATTTTTATTTATATGCTATTATATTTTATGCTAATAATAAATAATAAATATAATCTTATATTTAAGATCGTCTTAAGCAAATCGATGGCAATGCACAATAATTTGTAAAATAAATGTTAAAAGCATAAAAAAAATTTTTTTTTTTCTTTACATACTAGTAGTGTATCGATTGCGTATCTTGAAACGTGTAAAAATTACATAACTGAGTAAATTTATTAAATAAATTTATTAGGTACTAATAAAATTATAAATATTTCAGTAAACTTCTTCAATTTTAACCTCGTTTTAGAGACACAATCAAATCTTTAATTTTTCAAAATAATTTTGTAAAAAAAAGTATTAAACTAAACAATTCTTCTTGCGTGCATTATCTCAACACGTAAGAAATTTACTCGTTAATACCTTTAAAATTTAATTTTAATTGTATTGTTGAAATTTAAAAGTAACATGAATATAAGTATTCAAATATAGAGCGGAAATTCCTAAAACATGGCGAACTAATCAACACGCGACTTTGGCAAAGAAAGCACTTTTGCAACTATTGTAAATTTTTTTAATATGATTAGTCTTGCCGTTAGTTTTTCAATATCTCTATCAGATCTATCTCTATCAGATCTAAATAAACAATCATCTTAAAGAAATTTACAACAGTTGCAAAGCTACTTTCTCTGCTGAGCCATTAGCTGCGTTACCGAAAAGATATTATTAAAGACCGTCAATCCTAGGCAAATTTTCGGCAATATAAAAAGGGTCCCAGAGATTAATTGAAGAACGTTGACATTATCGACAACTGATATATAAATAAATTATATATAAATTTGCTATTATTAACATAAATATTTGGCTTGCATTATTAAATTCACGATTTTTTATTACATAAATGTTCCATAAATAAATATGCTTACTTATAAAGCTATAGTATTATATACATATATTGCAGAAAAATTACAATTTTTTTCTGCAGTTATCATCTCTGTTAATAATCAAACTTTGATGATAATACTGAAATTATAATTTTAAACAAAAATCGAGTATTATTGAATTCTAAATGCATAAATACATCTACTAAACTAATAAATCATAAAATTAGTGCAATATTATCAGTTTTTAACTCTTAATTACTTCAATATTCACAAGTATGCGAACTCCTGTAAGGATGTCAGTCTTTAATAATATTTCGTCAGTGGCTGCGTTCAACAGAAAATACTAATCAGTTGAATTCTTTAAACATTTTATCGATAATTATCGCTATCGTTAACTAGTGATAACAGTCAATGAGAGCCGCACTTTCTTCCAGGATTATCCTGCCATTGTCTGTCGCTAGTTAATGATAGCGATTCAATCATCGATAAGACGCTTAGAAAATCCCACTACAGGTAGCACTTAGTGATTCTTTAATACGATTGGTTCCCACACTTAAATTTAACGAAGAACTAAAGACAAGAACCAATTATATTAAAGAATCATTAACTGCAAACTGATTAATTTTTTATCTGTTTGACTTGCTTACACTTTTTACACTTAGCATCTTTGCTTTCTCTCTTTTCAGCGTCAAATATATATCTATCTCATTTTAAGTGTAAAAAAGTGTAAAAAAGTGTAAACAAATCGAACAGATCATTTCTCTGCTGAACGCAGCCATTGCATCATGTCCACTCTCAAGCTTCTCTCTGAGGGTGACATCACGCAATCTCATTTTTTACTTTTATGATCGACCCACAGATTTCTATATATACTACTAGATTGTTAACTTGTTTGAAAAAGTGGCTCCCAATTTTGATGTGACATTATACATATGCGTCGAGAATCGCTCTGCGTGACGTATTTGCACATGCGCACACATCAGCACACTATTTTAATTAACCTATTTAACAGTATTAATCACCAAATATTTATTTTCATAATCCAGCTATTATAAATTATTTTAATTTATAAGAAATTGAATAAGATCGTATCTTTTATACACATTTATTAATATTCAATTGTCTTTCCAATATCTTTACCTTTTTACTTGAACTTTTTCTCTTTCAAAAAAAAAATAAATTTTTTTTCTATGAAATCACAGCATTTTCTCTTCCAAAGAAACAAAATTTTTCACTATTAGATCATATCACTTTCATAAGGTTATGGCCCGTATTCAGAACGCGTTTTCCTTGATAAAAGCACGCTTTTATCTCTAAAATTCTATAGTATGCGTAACGTAAATTATAGCATATTAGCGCGCTAACATCGTTGTACGTTCTGAATACAGGTCTATACAGTTAGCACATAAACAGTTGATGCAAAACACAACCATACTGCATTCCTTTGGGTATATATTCGTGACGCATGTGCAGAACTATTATACAATTTCAGAGTTCATTTCACATAAGCTTGTCCTAAGGAGTTAGCAGTCTAGTAGTATATATTAAAGTCTGTGGTAGGAGCAGAAACGTGCGAGAGGATGCTCTGCGAGTAAGAGACACCAAGTGACACCCAGTGCAGGCAGGTTATTCCGCCGGAGCGAAATCCATTGGTAAACATGCAGCCGCGGCATTACCATCGTGAGTGACCGTCGTGATTACACCCGATTATAATGGCAGAGAACCTGTCGAAACGGCCTTCCAAAGGAATCCTCAAGACGTCCAGCAGTTTTGATAATCCGGAGGCGCCTAGGTGAGAGACGCATTAATTGAATTTCGATTGGCGTAAAAATAGAGACGCGTGCAAAACCCGCCGTCGGCGTCTCTCGTTGACGTTAAAGACGGTTCGCGTGACTTGCGTGTCACGCGCGGTATATTCGTCCGGTATTTATAAATCACGAATTCACGCGGACCGTGACAGACGTCTCGACGAAGAGAACAAATAATTATCGAATATTTCTCTCGAGATAATACATGATCTCAATTTGATTTATTGTTTTTTACTCAACATTACGTCAAACATATCGTTCGAATTCGCGATTGTCTCTGTGAAAAATATTTTCCAAAAAATTCTCTTTTTTTTATCAGGATATAATTAATGTATATACTTTTTTGGAATTATTCAATTCAAAGTTAAAAACTTGCAAAAAAAAAGTATAATATTGTTTGAATATTCCTAAGTTGTAAAGTAATTGGCATTACCCAGCGTTAGTTGACACAGATTCTATTTTTAGAACTGGTGATGAACACCATTTTTTTATTTACCTTACATTAATCATGTAGACCGAGCAAAGAAACAACATGGGACGAAATGAATATTATTGCTACTCTTCATCCTGCTGATAAGGATTATGGCCACATGAAGATTGAAGAACCAAAAACCCCATATAATTTCGAAGGCCTCCAAAATGAACATGAGTTTGATCAATTAGATGCTAGTGCTCTTGCAGCAAAGTAAGTAGATATGATTTAGTTATTAATACAAGATACATTGATTTATAATTGTATGCTTCGATTATATGTTAATAAAATTATAAAATTATATTTGATATTATCTACTTTATTATTAAAATTCAGATTAGCTGGAGATAGTAAGCCCAAAATTTTTGAGGAATCCAGTGAAGAGGAAGAAGAGGAAGAAACTCCTGAAGAAAAAGGTTAGACATCTTATAATATAGAAATTAATTACTTTATAATATAAAAATTGTAATCATTGACGCATTCTGTTTTAGAAAGGAGAAGAGCTTTCGAGGCAAAAAGAAAGGGCCATTATCGAGAGTGGCATGCTGTACAAATGGCAAGAAGACTTTTAGAACAAGAAGAATTAGAAGAGGAAGATGAAGATGGCGAGAGTAAAAATAATGAGGAAAATTCGTCAGAGGAAGAAAGCAATTTTGACACGCGTTTCAAATGCATGCCGTCCTGTGATAGAACCGAAAAGAAATAAATGAAAAACATCGATTGATAATTTTCTTAAATCATCGATCACAGTCATAATTTCGCGACAATGTTGACTTCATTGTTTGATGCTATCGCGACTAAAATATCAAGCAGCAAAGAAAGTGTTTACATCAATTACATTAAAATGCCCAAGCTAAATTTCACATTTTAATTATGTATATATAGCTCTTTTTCAACTCCATCTTTATAGCTCTTTAGCTCCATCCTCTGTAAATAAACATTTTAAAATGAACCTGAATGTTTAGCATAAACCGCTGTTAGATTTTCCAAGATTAGATAAAGTTACAATAACATTATGAGTACTTAAAAATACTAGTAAGCTATGCACAGAAAAATTCATCTTGTTTAATGATTTATTTTAATTTCCATACAATAAATAAAAATTATAAAAATTTTCATTATTGCTTCATATAAACTTTCCTCGTCATTCTTTCGCGAATATATTATTCCAGGCCTATCGACATTATTTCAATACGGCATTCCCGTAAAATTTAACGTTTTTGGAAAATTCTAATCGCTATCAAAATTTGACGAACAATAAGGCTAAGCAAAGCCCTCACGTATAGTGAAAATTTAAGATGCTGTATGTAATATTTACATAAAGAAAAAAAAGCATGTATTTAAAATTATTAGTGTGTGTGTAATATATTACACAAGTTCTGTGATTAGCAAAGGTATATGCTATGTAACCTCGGAATGTATGATTTCAAATTTTCGTTTCTTCTCATAATGTTTGATTTTATTTTCCAAACTGTCTGTAAAAGAAAATAGATTATATACACATAGATAAGTAAAATTCAGTTTGTACCAAGCGGATTATGTAATTTAAGTCTGTCCAAGTTCATCAAGCTTATCCTAATTCATACAATCACTCTTTATCTTCATTCTCAATTATTCTTATTTCTTTAATGATATCTAACCAATTGATTGCAACGCATGGATACAACGAAACACATGTCTATATGATAATCTACTCTCTTTTGTTACATCTTGTACATTTTATTCATCGAAATGATAGGGAGAAACATTTTGCTCCTAAATCATATGTTGGACAGACTTAACTTAATTAAATTATACTATTCAAGAAATGTACATTTAGAAAATTGTAATCTCAAGTATAGAACGTCCAATCGCGGCGACATTGTGTTAGTATAGTATTAAAAAAAAACGTGAAATTACGTATATATGGTCGTAAAATATTTTGAATGTCTGTATCATAGTCAATACAAAGCATATTAATAGACTTAAAACAGTGTATTTGTATGCAATGTCTCGAAATTAATAGATATATGGGCTACATTACGAATAATATAAAGTGAAAAAGAAAACATTTTTTGATAACATGCTAAAAATTAGAAATTAAATCTCGACTTTATCAATGAATTTACATTCACTAGCTTTGATTGATCATATACTTACCACACATTTCTCTCTTCATCAGTGGTTGATATATTTTTGATTGTACTCCGAGCAGCAGACAATCGCTTTGAAAATCAGTATTTACACGATTAATGAAATTTTCCAATTTCATCAACATATTTTTAATCATTGTAGATCTGCAACAAAACAAGAATTTGATTATAAAATTGATCACATGTACGATTATGTGAATTTCTCTTTTATTAAACATACTTTATAGTATTGAGAGCCCAATCTTGTTGTAATACTTTGATAGTGTTTAATAATTCATTTTCGTCCATAAACCAATTTATGCTTTCATAATCACAATACCAGAGATTCAATGGAACTTGATGAGCCATATTGTACTGTGGCTTCTGTGGGCAAGTCTCAATGTCTAGGAGCTTCAAGATTATTTCAGGTTCTTCTTTCCTTTGTCCAATCAACAACAGGATGCCCATTAAACAACGAATTTGATGCCAAAGAAAGGCTTGACTTGTGATTTCTAATTCACACATATCGTAACCTTGAAAATAAAATAAAATTTACTATACATTATACGTCAATAGTAAATATTAAACAGCTGAAGAAATTTAAGATACCCGTTGACTTTTCCACATTCTGATCATTAAGAGAATTCACTCTTGCATCCATTACAGTTCTTTTAAAATTAATTACACCATTAGCTACATCCATTTTACAAATATTACGAAAATCATGATCCCCTATGACATATTTGGCAGCTTTGTCCATGGCTTCTATATCTAAATTACCCCTTGGGAAGAAATATCTATAGCTTCTAAACTTGCAGTCAAATCTTGCTGAGAAAATGGATGAGACTGGACACCATGCTATACATCTTATGTTTGCTGGTAGTAATCTGTTCAATATTTTACAATATGGTAACTCATCGGATAGGTTGTCTTGATTTTCTGGTTCTAATCTACTGCGTACATCCAATGAGATTACTTGAGAGAAGGAGCTAACACCTTTATCGGTTCGTCCACAACGATGGTAATTTGAACTCTCGCGGGATTCTATGCAGCAGCTTTTTAGCAGAGCTGCGAATAAATGATGCTCAATGGTATCAGTATTATCTTCTTGTACAGCAAAACCATGATAGTCCCAACCAAGATAATAAAACTTTAGCAGAATGTGCCTTTTGTGACATCTGCGATTAAAATTATAAGCTATCACTCGAATGAAAAAAAAAGTGACAAATTCAAGAGCAACCGTGTATTTACCGTGAAAAATCAAATGATTTTCTTACTTTCCCTGGTGTCTCTTCTTTCTTCATTTTAGTATCCGTACGTTTTGTAATTGTTAGTTTCAGTTGCTCGTTGTGAGCTTCCAATTGTAATATCTTATCGATCAGTTCCTGCAGGCCGGATTACGTAGAGATATAAATAATATATTAAATAAATACACGATATATAAAATATAAATATACACGGAACATTTTTCAAAACGCATTTATAAATGTCATACCGATTTATCGAGCACTTCCAACTGCTCTCTCGTGCTTCTTGTTGTCTTAACACGTTTCCACGAAACCTTTGCCATAATCGTGTTTCTCAACCAAGAAATAAACTACAGTAAACACAAAAGAACATTCAGATCTTTCATCTGTTGAATAAATATTACAAACGTCAAAAGTAGAGGTTATGTTATATTACACGTGTGCAGCACTTTCAACAGCGCATCATAAGACTTTCCTAATAGAAGATAATTGCACTGCTTCTTGAACTTAAAAATAAGATAGATATACAATTGGATGTCGGATAGAAAAAGAGGGAAGATGAACGGCACAGAGAGTGCAGCTGTAAAAAATAAATAATAGTTGCACTGTATTATATTCTCTGCATTAAAATGAGATAGTATGTATAATCAGATATGTTAGGGAAAAAAGAAAAAGATTGAAAAAACGTAAAAATTTATTAATTGCGTTCTCACGGGAATGAACGATGGAGAGGTCTATTTTATATTCATGTTTAAAAAAGTTTAATATATTACATAGAATAAATTCATAGAATTACATGGATATGACCTGCGCTGTGAGAAGCGATGTGACAGCCAATCATCTGCTTTTACGTTCTGCCTTGAAAAACGGATGATTAAATGGCCACCGCGGGAAACAATAAAATCGAATGTCGCTCGTCGACCGATTTTTGCAGTCAAACGTTATTTCAACAGAAATACTTTGATTCACGTGCATTAAAATTCTAAATCGATGTACATACCTTCCGTTTTGTTTTCAATTTTTCATATACATCATAAAACTATGCAGAAAAATAAATTGTGTTAAATTGCGTTTTGTTTATTCATGATGAATCGCTATCTCCTGTTGTATCCTCCTATTGTAACTCGAAAGCGGAATTACTTTTTAATTGTTAGTTTATATGCAGAAAGACTTGTTTACAATGAAATGTCGAGAAAAATTCAAGTAATATACATATATGCGGCGTATTTTAAATAGCATATTTATGTATATATTAATATATAATTTATAAATATCAATGTAATACACATATGTAATTGCTTGTTTTTTTTTGTCACGGTCAAATTAAAAAAGTAAAGTAATTTATTGAATGACAGCCACTTTATTGAGAGTAGACAGCGGTGAACATTAAGATTCGCCTTGCGCAGCAATTACCTCGATAGACTTTAGATAGTAAGATATCACACGTGCCCGGTAACTTGTAAGAATCCTATCTTTATCCGCCGGCATGCTATCAATCTCTCACATTACGACGAGCCTCGATCATCACGTAAGTGCACTCGTAAACTATTTTACTCTTCTACTGCAAAAAATAGGCGAGCTAAAAGGACGGGAACGCGACCTGCAACACTGTGTTCACGATTTCATTCACACAAGATGAGCTCTCTCTCTCTCTCTCTCTCTCCCTCCACAATCCCTTTAAATTTACTTATTTTTTGCAGAGTTCTTTTCCTTCGAAATGGAGGTATGATGGATATTTTAAACGCGTGATAATTGACGATACATGCATTGTCTCTTGCGAAAATATATGTACAGGTAGAGAGATGTAAATAGTAATAATATATAAAAGTCGATAACAATGTTAACAAATGTTAATCATCTCCCCCAGAAGAGTCGTTACTCCTCGCTAGTAAATGTGCTTGCTGATAATAAAATACCTTTCAGATATTTTCTTATAATCCTTGAATTAAAAGAAATCGGCGGGAATAGAGTTTCCGAAATCGCATCCAACCCTTGTTAACTCCATTTCTGGTCTTATTAGAAATTTAACTGCTCGAATTACATTATTTGATCGGGAGAATCGGAAAAAGAAACTTTTCTCTTTACGAGAAGAGGTCGAAAGACTCGTCGAAAGAGAACTACGAAGTTTTAGCGCCAATCTTCCGGTTTCGAAATCTGGCAATCGGATTTTACAGAATAAATTCCAGTCGATCACTTTTAATTCGCCCATTTTTCACAAAGATACATCCGTATATGTTACACCGATGTATGTACCTCGAAGAAAGAGCGCTTCGTAACTCTTATCACACTTACTTTATAATCGCCTTCGCTGCACGCACGCATACATAGTCGCATATATGTATATATATATTGCTGTCAGGTTTTTTTCTCTCTTTATTTTGCTCTCGTGACGATTTGTAAAAAACTTTTGGCATGGCTTGCGACACCACTGGCTTACGTAATTATTACAGGATATTAAGAGCATGCTCTAACAGTAGGAATACGAGTATAAATGCGTCGAATGTTTCGTCATGCGACCGGTATTGACCGGAAATAAAATTATTCCTTAATTTATCTGAATATATTGCATCGCGTTGTTAAGAGCGACGTTTCATCTGTTAAAAGTTCAAACGACGCGTGACCGTTATTAATTGAGAGTCGCGATTAATTGAGATGTCGCCTTTGATGAATTTGAAATCGTTGTGTCTCTATATTTAAACGCGAGCTGCACGACGGAACTTCCGTGCCGTAAAACGGGGTACTATTACACGAGAACAATTGCGCGTGACATTAAAAAGAAAGAGGGGGGAAAAAAAAGAAAGATTTTATTCTTTTCTTCTTAGACTCTCTTTGGTTAACTTTGGTCATGAATTGTGAATTACACGTCACAAGTTACGTTGACTTAGGCCGCGCCGTCTGAGACCCTCACAACTTAGGAAACTTAGGAATCTCACGGAAATACTCAGTGAGACTCTACTTTTAATGAGTTCACTTGCAAGTTGGAATAACGAAAACTCAATTTCACTCGCATAAAGGAGCAGTGTATCCATTTTACCTTTCAACCGCACATTTTTCCTCCGTGATTCGCATTCGCATGATAAAGTCAGCCCCCGTCTTAGGGCAAGAGAGATGTACAAATTCGATTTACCTCGAACCGAAAAATCTCCTCGTCGTGAAGAATCGCGTAGAATGGAATCGTATTTCTTTATTACTCCTCGTAGAAAACGAAAGGATATGAGGCAATTGACAATGCATGCATTGATTCGATTCGATTCGATAATTATCAGTTCTAGGGATATACCCGAAGGCATTTTATTAACATGCTCCGCTATACTTCTCGAGGTATTTTTGAACACAGCACCCTAGCGGAGAACGAAATATACTTGGTGAACGTTCACATAATTACCCCCTAGAATTGGCTAGACGCGCCAAGTTAGACGTGTATATGTGACTGTGTATCCATCTGTGTACGTATGTGTATGTAGGAAATATTCAATGAATATACATTACTTTGTAACATATATTTACAAACACATAGTTATTTATTTTAGAAATGTACGCGAGGGAAAACTTACTTTTAGTATTTGTAAAATACCGCTTCTGCCGCCTTCCGGCCTGAGATTTGGCGAGCCTCGTGAAAACGGGCGCTCGAAGGAGAGAACGGACACGCTCCTAATTAACATACTCTCGATATCTCTGCTTTAACAGTCCTTATAGATTGTATATTTACACACATGCACACACTCTCTCTCTCTCTCTCTCTCTCTCTCTCTCTCTCTCGCTTTCTCTCCCTCTCTTTGTAAAATATTTGTTAGTCGACGGAGACGTTTGTAAATCCTCATTTCTTCAAAGAGTTCTCGCAGTCATGAACGAAGAATGCTTTACAAGTTGGAAATCACTGTAACAGTCAATAGTTGAAATCTACTTTCCGATCTGCCGCGGCTAACAAATATCTTTTGTATTTTTTTTTTCTTTTTATGTTTTCCTGTAATTTGTGTTGTAAATGTAAATATCTCGAAGGTATATATTCATTAATTAATTAACCGCATTAACTAGAACTAGTTCAATGTTTCAAAGTCGCGTCACAAAAATATTCTTCGGTCGTACTAGGAAATATTTAAACAATATTTGTTCGCTGCTAGGGTTCTACCTACCCTTTTTCCCACTCCCCCAAAAACGATACGCTATATCGATTACATAGACAGACGACTCCCTCCCTTCCACCCCGACTTCGTTCCTTTCCGAAACTGCGTGTACTATATCACGGATGTGTACCAAGTTTTTCCCTCTCGTTCGCTTTACCGCAATGTTTGTTATATGTCGCGTAACATGCTGCGTCACTAATGAGATACAAGATCTATTGACTGACGTTCAAGTAACTAAGTGTGCTCGATAATATCGCGCGCAAATCCATACATTTACTCCGTTTAGGTCTAGAACCAAACAACGACGAGTGAGACGAGCAGATAATGGGATTTTCGATGACTTTGAGTCTTCGAGCTCGCGATAGACCTCGTTAAACTTCGAATTCGTTTTCTTTATTTTCTTTTTATTTTCTCTTTTATATTTTCTTCTTCCGTTTCGCCTCTTTTCTTACTCTTAAATAATCGTCGTCTTTAGAAAATATCTCTCGTGTGTATTATAGAAAAAGTCTTACCTTTATTCGTCGACCGTTTGTCTTTCTCGTACCTCGTTGAGAGAGTTACACGATTCGAGCATTATTATTATTACTAGAGCGTTACATTATCCAATTTTCTTTTTTTTTTTTTTGTTGTCCTCGTCCACGCTTTACCGTGATATATCGAGTGCAGTAGAGCGAGGACGCGAGAGACGGAACGAATAATTAATTAACTCGGCTGCGGTGACGCGGTATAACGGTATTCCAAGTCCATCGTCATTCTTATAAATAAATCAACGAAATGGTAAAAACCGTCTGAAATGTACGTTTCGATTTAACGATGCATTATCGCGAACAACATCGCCGACCGCTCGCTCGGGGCGCAACAATCTAAAAGACGCTCTCGCGAAACGCGAGATTAACTATAATTAACTTAGATAATAATCGATCTAACACGTCCTACACGATCGATGATGTCCGTGATGAGAAACGTGATTTCGCGTGCCGGCGCGGTGAGGAGAACCGAGAAAGCGTCGTCAGGTCGTCGCCGGCTTGGCCGTTAGAGGTACTCGACGATGTCGCACTTGATGGATATATTCGGGCAACTAGCTATATTCGAGCGATAGCCCCGTCTGGCAGTGCTCTTGTGCCGCTCGGTGAGGAGCTTCTGAAAGATCGGCAGAATTGTCAGATCCAGCAGTTCACCGTCCGATACGGCGCTGTACATCTTTGACACGTTCACCGCGGAACCACCTGCAACCGAGGACATCAAGGTCGAGGACTGTCTCAACAACGCGTTCATGGCTCTACTTTATTGCCATTCACATCAAAATCTAGCACACTCGACGTTATCCAAACATATAACACACGCTGTTATGACAGCCATTCCATTTGACGTTATTGTAACTTGTTGTTCTGCTATTATATATCCTTCATTCTTCAAGGCAAACATTCAAAATACACGAAATGCATTAGACTGATGTCCGAATAGACGTATACGTACATTCACGTGTATTAGAGTGCTCTGTTAATCGGCCTTAACGCTCGAATAATGAAGGTATGAATATTTCGTGAGGCTTGGGTAGGTAATTATCCGATGCATTCAATTAGCCGTATATCAATAACTTCACTGCGTAATTATACTGCTATTCGGACATGTTACATATACTTTATTAATTGTTGGTGGCAATTCATTTCGTTATTAAATATTCATTACTATTTTAATCTAAGTATATTTTTAATTTACATCTCACGCGAGATGTGATAACTGCTGAGCATATACAATATATATGTGTGTGTGTGTGTGTGTGTGTGTGTGTGTGTGTGTGTATAAATATATATAAACTCGAATGCAATTAATTTATTTGTTATCAATATTATAAAATTTAGTGTTTAATATCAGGAAATCAATGTTGAACAAATTAATAACATATATTATACAACTAAACATTACTGCTCTCTGACTTTTATGTTCCATTAATCTGATGTCTCAAAAATTTTTATCTTTTTCATTACAGAGAAACCAATTTTTTGTACTAGATTGTACTAAATGCAACGCTAATTTTGTATAGTAAGAAATCTGCGGTATCTCAAAATGTTGCAATAATTTTATGCAATTTCAAGACTTACTTATTATGGACTGATTGTGTTTGTACAACCATGGATTTGTTAAATCAATAGGATTTTTAATTGTTAGCGAATTTCCTTCTTGCAACCGTAAAATTTAATCCTTAGTACACACGATAATTTTCCGGTTTTTTGCTTGTTTACATGATGAGTCATCGTTCATATCCCAAATTAATTTTCATTACTTTAACAGTACACAAAAATTTAATTATTTTCTTACATATACTTCAACATTTTTAGAAAGTAATTATTTGTAAGGTTATGTATTTTGTATACTTTATATTATAATTTAACACTCTTAATTTTTTGAGAAAAAGAAATATACAAAATACGAATGACCTAATCGTGTCTAAGGATTAATCGTTACGAAAAACTGATATAGATTTGCCAAATCATTAGGATCTCTAATTCAGTGAACTTCTTTCCGTGCATTCAGAATAAATGTGCGTGCTTTGAACGTTTAGTATTCCGCAAATTTCCGACGCTGCGTAAGTGTACGGTATAAGAGTACGGGAAAATGAAGGCTTAACGAAGGAAACTGAGAGACTGGTACCGTTCACGTCGCCGCTTCCATCGCGCGGATTCGCCGCGACGTGCTTGCCGTTGTGCATCGTCGCCACATTCGGGGTGCTCTGCACGTACTCGAGCCGCGCCTGATGGCGCAGCTTCGAGCCTGTGTGCCGGCACATGCGGCGCGCGACGCGGTGCGAGCACTCGACTATGGGGTGGCCGCTACCGATGTGCAGCCGCAGGCACTTCTCCCGCGTGCGTTCCGACATCGAACGCTGGATGATCGTCGACATCGACTCGTCGTACTTCCCTGTCAACAGAACACTCGCCGTATCGCTCCACGTCCGCGCACAATGTCTCGAGTTCTACGGATATCTGAGAGAAATCTAGCCGAACAAATCAAATCTCGGATACGGATGCCGAGCGACCTCAATCATAAAGTTGGAACACAGACGTGCTGTTCAAATAACAATAGTTAGCCTGGTATGTTGGTTTGCTGGACTTGTAGGATAAACAGACTCATAAAATTTCATATGGTGTACTCGCAAAATTGAAAAAGCTCGATAAACACGCAAATCAAAAAATCAATCCGTAAAATAATTCTTTCTTTTTTTTTCCACGTCACGTAAATGGAAGTAAGCAAATCAATTGCTTTGCTTTCAGCTTGAAGAATATTTCAACTGATCTGAATATTTACCAAACTTTTTTTTATTCAGTTTAGTAAATATTGTATAAGTACAGTCTAGCTTGTGAAAAGTCTGAATTCTTTTTGAAGCTTTTATACGTATTTTCGCAACGTTTGAGAAATTTATACTTTTAAAAGACAAAATTTCATTTTGATTATGTGTGCAACGACTGAAAGTATAAAAATTATTTTTTTGTACAAATTTTATTTATACACGTGTATCATACTAGGATCCTTTAATAAGAATCCGGATTTAAGAAAGCCACTTTTGATTAATCCGTTATATTTTAACAATTTCTAAGAGCGGACGAGAGAGAAATAAATAAGAAAAAGATAGAACAGAATAAGAAAGAGGAAGAAATAATAAATACAAGTTCTTCTCGCAGATTTTTGTTAAAACTATTATCTGCGTACAAAACTGAGGCTCATGTTCAGACTCTTACTGGAGGATTTCTATGCTAATCGCAGGGAAGTACTCGGAGGACCGGCAAGGATTCTTACCGGCATGCCGATGATTCGGCACGTATTGCAATGAAAATGGCATCACGTGCTCGATGTAGCTCTGTTCGTGGAGCTCGCCGAAGGAGACGTTCTTGGTCGGCGGCGGCGTCGAGAGCTTCGCCCTGCGCTCGTCCTTGCTCCTCCTCCTCACGCGGCACACGTGTCTCGCGATCTCAGTCTCTTCCAGGATCACGGAGTCGCTCTCTTCGACGACCGGTGGCACGAAACTGTATCGCGTCACAGCGTCGGTCGGCAGAGGCTCCGGGGTCCTATGGCGCTTCAATAATGGTTCGCTGTCCTTGACCACCTCGTCGGGGATGCTCTTGCGCCGCGACGCGTCCGCGCCACACGTATGCCTCATATGCGTCATCGTCGTCGTTGTTATCGCCGTTGTCGTCGTTGTTATTAACGATAGCGACGGCGGCGTCATGTCCAACGCCGCCTCAGCGCCTGGAGAAGAGCTCTCCTCGATCGCCTGGCTCGTCATAGCCACTCTTTCGTTGTCGATGATGATTGACGTGGCCTTCGAAAGGGACGCCCTTTTCCTAAAACAAGCACCACGCGACTACCCTGAGGCTGGACGGCAAATCGGGTGCACCGGAGACTTCCGGGACGTGGTCAGTAGGGTAGATGGATTACCGAAATAGTTAAAAATTTCACTCTTTCTCGCTTAAATTTTGAAAAAATATAATATAAAAAGAATAGATAAAATTATAAGTGATTTTAATGACATGATGTTTATTGCGATCACAAAACACATTTCTGAACTGTATTTTTATTAAATCTCCTTTATCGCGAAATTACCATTGAATTGTCAATAATCAATCGTCAATCGAAGTAAATAATTTGCTTTTGTCAAATAATTCGTCTATATGCAATGGCCAATTTAACTACGTTTCGTTAAAGGATTTAAATCTAAAGGTGGAGTTTGATGTCAAACGTTACGACGTACTTTGTTACTTGATCCACGTTGACGTAATCACCCTCTGGCTGCGAAACGGTTGACGAGTTCAAGCTACACATTGACATTGAAACATCAGTCGTCTCTGTGGTTATCGACGGTCCTGTCAAATAAGTAAACAAAAATTATTAATATCGCGCATTAATAGGCGCACAGTTTGCGATTCACCCATTATAACTTTTGTTTTAAATAAAACTTGTAGTTTAAAATATTAAAAAAAAAAAAAAAAAAAAAGATTTTCAAAAAATTGTCTTTTATGTGAGAAAAATGTAATTAAAGCCAAAATATATTTTAATTAATAATGACTATTTCGAAATACTGTGCAATTCTGCGTTTTTAATTTTATTTAATAAATATAACAACTTCTTTTGAATAAAACGGACCTTTACCTTCCTTCTTAGCTTCTTCCGGCTTCGGGACCGGCAATGTATCGACCGTCTCTTGCGTTTCGCTCTCAACTTCCTCGCCCATTCTCCTTAAAAATCCCTGAAGTAAAATACGAGATAATAAAATAATTTTCTATGACCGCCATGTACACGCTCGATATGAATGCAACATTTATGGATTAAACAATATTGCTTAAACATGCGAGCGTACTAAGAGCCCATCAGAATAATTTTAAATTATTATTCGCAGAGAGTACTGCACGAAGCAGCAATGACGTCGTGATTACTCATATATAACCGAATTAAGATGGATGGTGCGTTCGCTTTTCCGTTAATCGAAACTCGCTATCGACCTTCCTCAAATTAGTCCAGTGCATGGATGTTTTATTAAACAGCATATATTTTATCAAGGAGGTATTTTAGTAAAATTGATTGTTAGACAGAGATAAACGCAGAATAACATAAACAATTATAATTGAAAATATATTATATAATACATTTTCTATTTTTCTTTATTTTTATCTCGAACTTAATTCTTTCGATAAAACTTAATTTTAATGTTAAGCATTAAAATCGATTCTAAATTCATCGTAGAATCTGAAGGAACAAGATGATTCAACGATAATAGACTACGTAACGTATTCCTTGTATAACAAGTTCATAACTCCGACGAAGTAATACTCGCTGTAATGCCGTTTGGAAGTTTGATGAATGGAAAAGCTTACCTGAAGCTCAGAATCCTTTTGTAACAATTGCTTCCGGAATTTTTTATTCGTCAGTTTCGCTTCCTTCAAACGCTCATCGAGTTCGCTGACTGTCGAGTCCCTTCGTATCTTCAGCATCGGCCTCAGAGTCGCCCTGGTCCGCTTATTTATCGCCCCTTGTGGATTTCTGCGTAACTCTATTACCTGAAAATCCCATGAGACTTACTTGGCTTCTCTCTCTCTCTCTCTCTCTCTCTTCTCGTTGGTCTTACGCCGAGAATAGGATAGATAGAAACATTTTATTAAGGCTCTAGGGCAAGTCCTTTAAAAACATGCGTATAAAGAAAAATAACACGAAATATGTTTGAAACATTAACTAAAGCAAGTATATATAAAATTAACATGAAATAACGGAAGAAAAGAAAATTGTATGGATAAATGAAATGTAAACAGTAAATATATATATATATATGAAAATACTCTTTCTCTAACATAAATATAAATTCTAAGATTAACACAGTAGATGATTAAAAGGTCTCTGTTTAAATAAGTATGTCGACTTCGAATTCCGAGAGTCTAAAAAAGAGCTCTGTAAAGATTTTGTTGTAATAAGAAAATTGCTGAAGAGTAAATAAATGCGCGACAAATAATTAATGTCAAACAAATCAATAATATCATGCTTAAATGAACGAAAACTTTTGTAATTTAAAACACTTTAGCGATGTAAAATTAAATCCATTTGACAAAGTTTCAGTTCGGAAAAATGCTAAGCGAAAGGCATTCAATTAACTAATCTCTTCGATCGTCTCGGAAGATCGGCCAGTTTAAAATGTGAAACAAGTGAGGTAAAAACGTACCTTAGGAATAAAAACCAGACAAAGAGTGGCTGTACTACAAAATATAATGAACACCGCCAACATTATAAACATGGCGTCTTGTTTGTCAGTCAGCACGAAGCTTATAGCTGCACCGGTGACGCACATTATAACAACGTTGTACACACTCATCCCGACGTATTTACTGTCATTTAATGCCGGTATACTAACGTGCCGCGTTTCCCATGCCAGAAAGGCACCAAATATCTGAAAACGATAGGCCTAGGTAAGTGCCTATCATATGCGATTTTATCCGCCAAGGCGCTTAGCGATGCAGCTTAACTTACCATTAAAAGGCCTTTGTATGCATATATGCAAAACAGATAAATATTCATTTGATTGCTCTGACAATATTCATTTTCCGGGATGATTATTATATCTTCGCTGGAAGGGTGATGCTGCAATTGAGAGTCAATTCGCATTTAACCGATCATTACCGCGAATTTCTTTCGCGAATTATGATAGAAAATATATAGAAAGAGGAATATACCGAAATTTATAAAGTAAGCGTACGTTTATTAGCAAACATATTTTTTGCATGTTTTTGTACTCACATAGGGCTCCATTTGTTTTATCGCTCGATAAAACGGATCGGCCACTTGCCACGTTGTCATGATCGTGAGATCGACAGCCAACAATATCCCGACGACCATGAACAATTGGTAATCTTTTATAACCTGAATCACGATATGAGCTCGTTAACGTTGAACACGAAAGTGCGCTCCGTGCTCTCGCTATATAGTCGTTAACGAGTTACCTTTTTATTGAGCTTCACATCAGTGAATATGGAATGTACACGCCACGTTTTCGAAAACATGGAACCAAAGGCCAATGAGAAACCAGCCATCAACAGCCACGCTCGAGCCGTACAGATATACGGGAAAGCCGCTACGCTCGATAATTGCGAGTCTAGTCCGAGGAAGATAACGCTGCTGTAGGTCAGTATACAACCGATGATGATAAGGTTGTTCAGGTGGGGCGATGACATTTTGATGTATCTGTAATATTGAGTTTCGCGTGTAAACCGCGCACTGGATTGGGACTGAGAAAGTAAGTCTGGGAGCCAAATGGAGGAAGCACGTGTTAGCACGAGCGTGTTGCATAATTGTTACATATTACGGCGGAGCCGTCACCTTTGATTTCTGTATCTGATATTGATGGCGAGAAAAATGGATGCCAAGACGATACCGACACTAGCGGCCGAGGCTAGCACCGCGTACAGCGTGATGTCCACGGTGGAGTGCTCGATGATGCGAACCGTCCTGTCTTTCGGTGGCGATTTCCCATTCCATAGCGAGGCCTTGTGTCTCGTCAGATCCAGAATGCCAGTTATGCTATCGTACTCGCCTACGTTTACCTCGCGACCGTCTAAAAAATTCACATTTCAATCAAGAACGCGGCGCACGCCGCGATAAAATATTCCTATTTTGTATTAAGAGCGATTTATTTCGAGCAATTTTTAATATCCGTATATCTGTATTACTATTAAAATCGAGTCGATCGCGGGAAATGTACGCACTGGTCCGTAAATTACACCACTCATGCGAAATACCCAGTCACCGATATCGAGCAAAAAAAAGAAATAGCACCTAATTGAAACTGTATTCGAATTCGTATCCATAGCGCAATATAAAAAAATTCTTTTGTCGAATCGAAATTGCATTCGCGTTTTCTACATGACACATTTTTCATTTGAATTCCTTCATTAATTGCTGAATTACAACCAGTACGCTGAAATTTATTTCGAAATAGGTATTTTATCTGTATGGTATTTAATTCTAAATGCGAAGAGTTTTTCTCTTTTCTCTTTCTTCTCCCCGCGTCGGCTCCGTATCAAGAAGTAACTTACCCAGAAATTGTTTTAGAAGAATGTACGCTTTTCTCTCGTTGTCGTAGAAGCGGACCGGTCCCTGCAAAATGTTAAACACAAATGTTCTCACATTCACGTCGCGTTATTATACAGAAACGGTTACCACAGGCGATCGGGATCGTGAATCGGATTTTAAAATAAAAGCCCGCTCACCGATTCAACTCTCGCTATCAACTCATGCCAATTTGCCCCGCTAACTCGCCCGGCGGTTTGTCATGTTTTTGATTTCGTTTTAATTTCAATTCGGTTCACCACCGATCGGTCCCATTCTCCCGCTCTGTTATTGCTACCGTACATGTATGCATCCCCTTTTTACTAAAACGTGCTCAACCGTAGCATTGCAAAGCACTGCGTCACGAGTATATATACGAATGAAAGAAAGAGAACAAAGAGAAAAATTGCGAAAAAAGAAAGGGAAAAAAAAGGCAACTCATTAAGTTTGCCGGTAACGCTCGCGCGGTTAGGTGTACGTAGAAAAGTGATGCCTGCGCTTGAAGACACTTGGGGGTCGGACAAAAAGACGGTCAAGTGTAACACGCGCGGCAGTGCGAATGTTGATTACTGAGAAACACAGCCTCCTTCGCATCTCTCTGTCCATGACAGGCACAAAGTGTCGGGTAGCTCGTCGTCACCAAGCCCACGCACACGACGATCGAAAGCAAGGGTTGTCGCTGGTCTAATGAGAGAATGTAAAGACCCGTTCTCCAATCTTCACCCTTCTTTGTAAACGTCTTCTTCCTCTTTTTTTCTTCTTCTTCTTCCTTATTCCTTATTCTCTGTCGTCTTTTTAAGCAAGTTACTCTCGGTTCTGCAATGCCCGGGGCAGTCTCACGGCAACAATAGATATCTCAATGCCCTCGACACAAATAACAACTTGGCGAATTGGAGCTAAGTGACGCGAATCAATCGAGCGGGGAAAGAGAAATATTTTGCTTTGAATTGCGGAAATTATCGTTAAAAGGCTAAAGCTAAAGATGATAATCCAAGCGAAATTCTCTTTCCTCCGTGAAATACAAATGTATGTCACAAAACGGTATGAAAGAATTTACGTCTTCAGAATTTACTAGGGCGATTACGCGAAAAAAAAAATCGTATAAACAGAGATTTTTATTTTAATCAAAAACGGCCGCATAGCTGTGAGAAATAAAAATCTTACAATCTTTTCATCCAAAATTCTCATTGCAACCCAAATATAACAAGCGATATACAATATTAATATTATAATTTAAGAAAAACGAAACGAAGCACTTAAAAGTTAAATTATATATTGTATTTGTAGTAAATTTTCAGAACGATTTTCAAATTCAATATTTTAAAATATTAAGAAGATTATCAGAAAAATTAAATTTATAAAACATTAAAAAGTCTTAATCTGTTACAGATATCTAACTTTTTAGATATCTTTTAGAAACTCGTTAGCAACTGATGGCGTCAACGAAAAGTAGAAAATTAGTATAGACTTCAGGACTGTAATTTTTTGAAACAGAATTACTTGATACAACAATTTTCTTTCCTAGAATTTTCCGTTTATCAGTTATAATCGAAATCAAATAGTAAATACACGGATTAGAATTACAATGTCTTTTTAAAGGCTGTTCAAAACTGCTCATTAGCGATAAAACAGGAGCAGAAAACTCGAGTAAGATGACATTTTTGTCGTCTTACTTATCCAAGATGATCTGCCCAGAAAACTGCTGCTGCAGCTTTTTACTCTTACTGTGTGGCACGTTCCATAATGGCGTTCGTTTTTAGCACTAAGGGTTTTATGTCGAATGACATTATCCGGCTTGTGTTCGGCGGAACACAAGGGAGAAGGGGGGGCGTCGTTGCGGCGCGAAATTGCGAGGCGGGCCAAGCTTACCGTGACACCGTCAAAGCTTGTATTCCTGAGGGCATCGAGGAAGAGCTTCTCCCACAATACGTCCCTGTACCGAAAGTCGGATATAGTCTGGTTACGATGGAAGTGTCGTATCCTGCGCGCGACATGTTTCACAGCCAGCGCGACCGTCCAGATACCATCGTACGTGTAACCGTGGAACCTGGAGTACTCGTTACCCCGTCTCGAATCGTACTCTTTCCAATACTGGTCCGGGGTCTGAGGGGGTGAAACACATAAAATCGAATAGAGACGCAACAGGCGTGCCCTCGCATATGACGAATCTCAAAGACTCGTCGTATATACGTCGTTTCCATTTGAATCGTTCTCGATCGCTCCGAGGCGCGATTAAACGCAATTTTCGGGGATCCGTATTCCATCAGAAATGCAATCGAGCAGATATGCATACCTACGTACGATACTCGAAGTACCGTGCTCCATCTGCGGATTTCTGCAACCAATCTGAATCGCGATTCTTCCGTAATCCTTTTAGAATCGTATTCAGTTATTCACGTGGAACGGAAGAAATAACATTACGTCGCGTTTCTGCCGAGGAAAGAAGACTTCGGATATGATTAAATTACATTTAACGATCTTTCGATCAATTCTAATAATTTAGAGGTTCAAGTAATTTTTAAATTAAATAGGATCCGACTTCCCGGAGCGATCCGCGTGGATTTAATCGAAAACCAACGATAAAAATTTCAATGCACAGTTCACTCACGATTCCGGACGTGGTGTGTTGCTCCTCGGTCGTCAGCGGAAGCAGATCCGCCAGGATGACACCGTGAAGGGCCTCGGACAGCTCGGAGGGGGCACATCCGCCACCCGGGCGCAACCACCACTCTCTGGTGTAAGTCCCGATGATGACCCACTGATACTTTCTGCCATATAAGCCAAACCTGTAAGCCTCACAGAATATCCGTCTAGCCCACGCCTCGTTGAAATTTCCCAAGAGGATCCTCACGTCTCTTTCTTTAAGCTTTTCGAGTGCCGTTGTCACCTCGGTAGCAAAGCTCTGCGTCTCCACAAGCTCCATTTTGCTCTCATCTAGGTCGGCCACCAACCGATTGTGCACCTGGAAAGAAGATTCGCAGGGAGAGTGTGACGAGAGAGAAAAAAAGAGAGAGAGAGAGAGAGAGAGGACTCCTGCAACTTTCAATCCAAATGCTTATCACGTGCCATAACGTGAACGCATTCGCGCATTTAGCTTGTTCAAGCAGGCCGCTAGCGACGGCAAATCTCCATTTATAATGTAAATGGAACAGTTGCTGCATATACATCACCCACGCCCGCGAGCGCACGTGGAGAACGACGCGCTCTCGCGACGGGATTAATTAACCCTTTCATTTCCTCGAATTGCTTGCAACTGTCGAGAATCGCTGTTTGAATCACTTTCTTAACGGTATCTAACGCGTGGAAAATGTACAAGAAAGTCTTGAGATTTTTCAAGATTTCCTATTTTCATTTTACGTACACCGAGTTTTTATATCACGAACAAAGGAGAGGGTATTCGCTGAAGAAACGGAATCTAAGTTATTAAATTTAATTACGTTTGCGATAAAAAGGTACAACTTCGAAAAGGTAGTACAGAGTACCCGTTTCGAAGTCGTAATACCTTAAGTTCATAATATAGAAAATTATTTTAAATTTTATAAATTTTATTTTCTCTCTCTCTCTTTTTTTTTCATTATCAGTTTTATTATCAGACAAGTACTCTCTTGACCGCTGCATCAAGATTAACTTTACCAGTGAGTATCTGGGCTCGTTCTGATAAATCGTGCCGACCCGGGTCCAGTTGAAATGCAGAAGCAACGCCACTCTCGGTGCATTGAGGGCGTTTTCCGACGGCACGACCCTAAAGAAATTCGGGAAGCTATTGGTTGTGAACATAGGATGGGTGTCCGCGTAGCTGAGCTGCAACAATAAGAGTAGAGAGCGAATGTTGATAAAAAAAATCACATCTCCTACGCGTTTGTTTCCGTTTTTCTATCATCCCCCTCAGTGCGTGTGCACGTGTTTGTGTGTTAGTATGCAAATAAGCAAAAAGAGCGAGGGAACTGTCTCCCGCAAGTCATGAATATTTACGACGACGTTTTACCGTCGCATTACCTGCGTAAGGCGCCAGTGTTTCGAGGCTTTCGCTATCGGATCCGTGACTTGTGTGCAAGCTCCGCCGAAGAGTATCACCTTGTGCGGCCCGTTGTGCATCATGTCGAAGAACGCCTTCATCCCGACGGCGGCACTGCACTGCAATATATGCGATTTATTACCTACGTTTCCCTTAATACTTTCGCATTATGAAAGTATGAAATTTCAAGGCAATCTCAAGAAACGTCTGGTGGAAATCGAGAAAATATCCGAGATACGAGAAAATGAGAAGTACTTAAAAATCGCAAAAAATATTGGGCGTAATATGGCGAAATGCGTCATATGTTACTTTTTCTCATGTTTTCACGGTTCATGTTTGCTTTCAAGATGAAAAGTGATCATTTCTTATATCGAAAATCTTCTTTGATATTTGCAGAATCAACAAGTGTTTGGTGTACAGCCAGAAAGTAGAGAAGAACGGAGAATAGAATGCCAAATCGGCAGGGAGGAGAAAATATTATCATAATATCGGCGTTGTTCTAATTATCGAAAGATTAGTCCGGAAGCTTGTGCGGGATTAAAATTGTGTATTTATAAATGCGAGTAACACTCTCCACACACACGCACACACTTCGATTTTATTTACCTCGGAGAGGAAGCACAGAGAACTCTAACTAGTGGTATTATAATGGTTTTTTTTATAATAAAAATAGGAAAAGTATTTTAAATATTCCGTCGAAGGAAAAACTTTGTTCTCAAAAGTTGAATTTTTACTAGAATAAATATAATGCGAACGGATAGAATGCAAGCGTTTTGTGCGTTGTAGCTGAAATAACAGTTAAAGCAGGAATAATCTTTGAGCTATGAGTTATCTTGGCGACAGACGATCATTGGGACTGACATCGCATATTCCGTTTGAGTCGCGATGTCTACATACTCCTTTGATATCAGCACCGTTTCGAGTGTTCTTTTTCACATGGAAATTGATTCCAACGTATCGCTACATTCTCTTTGCGTTCACCGTGGATGACCCCGTTCCGAAGACAAGATGGAAAAGGATATAATTGTACAGATGAAAATAGGAATTCTGGCTGGACAGAAACGGAACGAGTCCCTATCTGCGTACGAAGCGCTGAATCTATTATGAGCAGTCTGAGATTTCCACACAAAATCAATCAAGATTATTTTCAAAATAGATATTTCGCGCCGGCAACATTTTCTGAATCGCTCCCCTGTTGCTGTTGCGCCATTATTTTTCTCCCATGCATTTTCCGTCCTCATAATTCGCAAGCTACTTACATTATCTCGGGTTAATTCTTTATTTAAAAATTCATAAAGGTGAGCGTGACTGTCCTTCACAAATTTTTTTTTTAAATTATAATCCACATTTATCGCTACTTAGAAGATTCCGTCTCACGTTTATTGCACGTCCCCTCATTTTATTTTACATCGATTTCCGATACATTGGTTATCACGAAGCAGAGATAAAAATCCGTCCTTGGAAATTATGTTACGAGATAGATTCGTGCAACTTGAGGAAGAACTCGTAAGTTCATTAGTCACCGTTTAACGATTCGCTCCATAGCAGAGATCTGAAAAGAAGAAGCAAGAAGAATAAATTCAAGCCTGTTTCAAATACGAAGTGCTATGGAAACGAGAAGAGGTATCATTTTATCAATCTCGACTAATAAGGGCTATATTGTCGCAGCGAATAGTAAAGAATAATCTACCGTTACGAAAAAAAAGATGGCATCAAGAAAAGATCTCTTTGCGCTTGGACGTCTCGGGTTAAATCACGAAAGCGATATCGATTGAACGGAACGGTAGATAACTTAATTATGCGATTGCGTGTCGTGGAACGCTCATGCGGAAAATTCGACGCGTCGATTTCCAGCAGTAATTTCTTTCGCGAAAGAAAATGGAAAGAATTAATTTTAAACTACATCGCTCGATTACACGGTTGAATTAATCAAATCCGATGCGCATCGATTGGCGAGCAAAAAAATGCTGCTCACAGTGAAAAATATACGAAAATAGCCAGTCGCGTCTACACGCGTGTTTACTGTAACTACTGGTAGAGTACTTGAAAATACCACGTGGTCTCCGATTGTGGAAAACCAGAAAAACACAGCTCACAATATCCTTTCGGCAAGTAGTCGGAAGTGATTAATCTTTCCAGTCTTTGTACAAGCTGCTCCACTTTTTGTCGTTAGCTCAGCTTCCTCCGGGGCTAACTTGGAGACTCTCTCATAATTCGATATGTCTGGAAGTCTCAGCGATTTTCCGAGCATAAGCGCGCAGAGTCGTAAATCGCGACACGATTCTCCGGGTTCAGCGAACGAGAAATTATGTTGTAGAAAAAAAACACTGTTTCATGGCTGTTTACCTTCCATTGCGAAGAAAAGAGGGATAATGTTATATTACGTGGCTATGCAGACTAACGTTAAATATATATATATATATATAAAATATATTCATTCCGGTCAGCAGACGCTTCGGGTGTAAAGCACGCGTGTAGAAAATTTCCGACAGCTCTCTACGTCCTTTCTGCCATATTTCGAGAAAGAGAGAGAGAGAGAGAGAGAGAGAGAGAGAGAGAGTCGATAAGAGAACAAAAAATAGCAGCTCGAATCGCGCGTTCACAACAATAACACCCCGTACTTTTGTTAAAAGGCGCAATAACCGCGTCTCTCGTTCTTTCTTTCTCGTCAATTTAGGGAATGAAATAAAATTCCACGCTTCCCTCGCAGACGGATGCTGTGAAAAAGAGGGTAAGTAAAACCAAAAATATCTTACGTCGTGTGTCCTCCGCAACCCCTTGCGTTTCTCGAAAATGAGAAAGCTGTGATTTACACTCTCTCGCAGTTCCGCTCAACGACTCGCCCGCGCATTGTTTTTCATAGGCATTGCACGACCCATAGCTTGCATAAATTTCCATCTATAATTTAAGGCGTGCGCGACTCGCTCGCTCGCGGATCCGCGCCACTCCTTCGGATGCAGACGTCAGCCATGAAGGGACCCAATTCCGCGAGACTCTTTCGCGCGAGTTCGTATGGGTATCATATATACGTACATGTATATACTTCCAGACGCTACAGAGAGAAAGGTAAACGTTAAAGTTTTCTCCCCTCGAAGTTGCAGTCGCGGTCGGGTATCCTTGACTCGGGTGTGCGCTCCTACTCCAGCAAGTTTTCTCCGCAATTTCCCCACGTCTACCTCTCTAGGTCGGAGCGACTCGAGAGGCGGCTAGGAGGACTACGTATATATTTTACATGGTCGACGTGCAGACGTGCAGACGGGAACCGGAACGTCTCGATGTCTAAGGTCTACGCTCGAAAAATACCTACACGCTCGCACGGCGCAGCGCGGCGAGAAATGATAATGGCGAGATAGAGAAGTCTCGCGTCTGTAGAACGCGCGAGCGCACATAGCGGAGCGGACGATCGTTCATTTTGTGGTGGGATCGAAGAGGATTTCGCGAAATTCGCGACGATCGCTACCATCGCGATCGCGGCGGTAAACAACGCGATAAATCGTCCCGCATCGATAGCTCCCTAATTCAGCGGAAATTGAGATACAAGTGGCGGTTGCTGGCTGGATGTATCGACCGATGCGCAACATCGGCGATGGCTGGCAAAGGCAAAGCCCAACCCTCCTCCCTCTCCTACATACGCGATCTCGATTCTCTCACCCTGTTTCTCTTTCTCTCTCGGGACAATGCGTTCACCCGTCAAATATTCTCGACAGATCCAAATGCGTCACGTTCACGCGACGAATTTTGCTCGGAGCTGCGATTTCGGTGAGTTTAATTCTCGATTCGTAAAGTGGAAAAAAAAAAACGTATTCCGCATCTGTCCCCATTACCATTATCCCGAGTGGAGATCATTTTCGCGCGGCTGTAACATGGTGATTCGTAATAACGACTTTATATGTTCCAGTCTCGATGCGCTGAGCGAATCGGAGCGTGTTTTAAAATGTATAATGTAACAGGGTGGCACACACACGAAAAAATCAATATCAATAAAAGTTTTATTAATAACTAGCTAGCGAGTTGTCCGTACTTCGTACGATCATATTTCTGATGCTGTTTCAAAACGAAAATATTTAATAATTAATTCGATTAATTTTTAAAAATATTACTTTTAAAAAAATATTATTATGCCGCTGTAGAACTATGAAGAGGGATTAATGTTGCGTCTGGTGTTAAAATTCAGATAAAATTGATGGCTTTTTTTAAATAACGTTATTTCAAATAAACAAATAAATGGAAACAGATTAAGAATTATTCGATTAATTATTTTACAAAAATATTAACGATATAACGGTTTCGACAATATTGATAAGCTGTTTTCAATTAATATTGTTTTGAAAAAACAAATATATGGATTCGACTTTATTATTAGAATAAATAAAAGAATAACGAATGTCACGTTCGCCGCCGATGGAGGCCATTTTCAGTACATTAAAAAAAAATGGTAATAACATTGCGGTTGACCCACTAACCCATTAAAAATATAATTGTAAAGAGAATTTCATTAAATTTCCCACTATAACATTATTTTCTGAAAAATTTTAATAGCAAAATCCGAGGTGCGAAATTTCCAGAAAAGAGGTAGCGCTCGACGACAGATAATGGCGTGAGCATGGTCGCATACGGCCTGACGCTATTTTTATGCACTTGACGTCGAGACGCTGCCGTGTGATAATAATAACATAGCAAAATAACTTTTCAGGATGTAATAACGCTAACACTGAACCACCCTTTCCGCGCGTCAATCTGTGTAAAACAGACACACGGCTAGTCTGCTTTAAAAAATCCGATAATAGATTTAAGAGAAAGAACGAGATCAAATCGCGCTTTTCAAGTTTACAAGTATCAAATTTCATATTTGATATTTTGCGATAAATATGTATATACATTTTATATCTCTTTCATTTTCTAAAAGTTTTCCAACGATAAAAATTGATTCGTTCCTTGACCTAAATTTTATATTGCATTTTCGCACGTTGAAATCCAATTCTATTTTCATTATCTAGTTTCTACGGACATACATAATATTTTTGGATAAAACTTAAACAGATTCGTATTATTCGTATTATCACTAACGTTCGAATCATGAATTATTAATTGAGTTGAACATTGAACAGATCGATAAGTGGAATAAAAAAGTACATATATGTCTATATGTGTAGTCGTTTAACTGAAATATTGAAAGAATCGTAGAAACAGATCTATAGGGTATGATCGTGAATGATAAGTCTACGATGACGTTGCATAAACGCTAAATTTGCTTCTATCATGCCTTATCGGTTTCTCATGTGTGTTCAGCGCTATATATATATATATATCTAATGGTGGAAAATGTTTTTCTCTCATGAATATCCACCGGTGGGTCTTACATTTTGTTCTCAGCCCGGCATAGTTATCCGTATACACGAGTTATATGGATTTTATGTATACCGATAGAATGTTCTCGTCCCTCGGAGCAACATTAGTTTGGCCGGTTTTATTATATTACGTATTTATATTACGAGAAATTTCTTACGTACATACAAAAATCCTACATCCGATAGTTTTATTATGTTACTTGTTTTTAAGGGACTCTTTTTTAAAGTACACAAATTCCAACCATCCGACAGTTGTATATTTTTATTGATCTACAATTTTTATAAATGTACAAAAAGTTTTATAGATACGAGGAAAGGAATTTAAGTAGATTCGCGATAGCGTAACTCAATTTTACAATCATGCTACTAAGCAAAGAATTAGATATAATATTACATGTAAATAATTATAATCTACATTTTAAGAATTGAATTCTTTCGTACATAGTCTTCATATATATATTTATTATTATTTTTTAATAAATGTTGCAAATTTATATACGATGATTTGAATTACCAGAAAATTATTTCTAAAGTGCTTTCTGTGATTTTCTCTTAAGATGAAATTTAAAAATTCACTACATTTATCTCTCCACTTCGCTACGTTATAGAGTATTGAATCTCCTATAAATTGATGTTTCATTAAATACATTTACCGAAATTGGAAGCTTCCAAGCTATTAAAAATGAAATAGGATTTCATGATACTACTTTTTCTCTTACGTATTAAATTATATTCCTTACATTTCAATGGAAAACAGAAAGAAATGAAGGAGAAAAGTCATGACATTTTTATAAAAAGTCTTTAGGAATTCTGATCAGTCATCGTCTTCAATTTAACCGAAATTGAGAAATATATCTGGAGACTGACGAAAGAAGATGTAAATATCCAAATCTACGAATAATTGATCAATTTTCGATTGGACGTGTTATTTTTGTGCGCGGCCAGGAGTCTATAGAGTCCCTAGTGGCCTCAAATATATCCCCTACATTACTACCTATTAAATATCATTATTTATTCAACAATTGGGAATTCCGTTCAAGAATTATTAATCTTAATCTAAGTAAAATTGAAAGAAATAAATATATTTCACGTTACAAGCGAATTAATAATTTATTAATTTTTAACGAGTCTTGTACCATATAACGCTCATAACTCGACAAAGGACTTGGGTGGATCCGTAATCAAATAATAATGAAAAAGAATCAGTCTTCAACAATACATAAGAACAGATAATTGGAAAAAGGAAAAAGAAAGACAAAAGGAAAGAGCGTAACATCGTGTCCCAGAAAAGAAAGAGTATTCTTATTGAAAAAGTGATAAATCCACGAAGAAGAGATAAATCCACATTCAGGGATTCGTTAACTATACATCGTTCAGAGATTTTACTGTATTTTATTATATTTTATTATATTTCACACAGGACAGGGAAGATCACCAACTCACCTCCGTGTCGTTCCACCACATGTGCAGCCGATAGTCCCTGAGTATCGTCGGGTGCTCGTTGATGTGCTCCACCGCGAGCTTCACCGCGGGCATGACGCCGCGGCCGATGTGACCCTCCGGCACGTGATTGCCGTACGGGAAGAAGCCGGCGATGTAGACGTCGCGCTTCTTGCTGCCGCCGAGATTGATCGGCTTCTGGCCGACGCATTCGCCGATCATCAGCAGCCAGCAGCAGTATACGATCGTAGTGAGCAGCATCAGCGAACGATGTCTCGAGCTACCGCCGATCACCGTGGTGGACATTTCCTCGGCTATCCTCATCCCGTTCCGTCCTCTCCCCTTCACCCAGTCAATCCCGACGACATCCCGCGATGTAGAGGTAACTCGCGCTTTCATCCCGTGTTCATCCGGATCACCACCGGGTACAAGCCCGACGAGATGTCCCGCACGACGATCGACGCCGCACGTTCACCGACTTCCGCCCGCATGACGGAAGAAACGACCCTGGAAAGTACCTGGGTACCTCGACGCACGACGTTGCCCTGCTATTCCCCGGCGAGCGAATCCGCGATCGATTTGTTGTACGACGATCGCTTCCGTTCTCGAGGCAACGCGCGTCGCATTCCTGACAATTCCTGATTCCACGTCGCACCAACCACCCCGGGATCGGATCGTGACTCCACTCACGAGAATAATCCGTGATAATTACGTATTGAACGCATTACGTGCTCTACACACGGAGAATCGGCTCGATCGGAGATATCGTCAAGTGTCCGGATATATCGTAACTCCGCCTTCTCGATACAGCAACAGCGGCGAAAGAGTCGATTGACGCTTGCGTTTCCGCAAATTCAACGGAGTCCGGTTAAATGGATAGATGGTGGTTCGTCGCGGAAAGCCGCGGGGCTTTGTGCTCTCGACATCCAATATGAGAACGACAGCAAAGAGAGCTGCCGATATTTCGCGAAGGGCACGTACCCGATTATCTCTATCGCGAATTCGAGTTTCGAGTTTCCGAGCTCGCGGGAAACGTTTCTCTCTCTGGAACCGACGGGATCTCGTCATAAACGTCGCGCGCTCATCAGAAATGCTCGTCGGTCTTTATCTTAATCCTTCATTCCAGACGATCGCACCTTAACGTCGCTCGTGTCTCATCGCTTCCGCAACTCGCTCCCAGTTACATCTACGAACAAACTCGAGAGTCAACTAGTTATTTGTTTTGCCAGATTAGAACACCAGTTAGAGTGTAGGGGGTGCGAAGTAAATCAAGAATATTATCAATTCCATTGCCTCGCCTGTTCCCGACGACTGGCGTTGGCGATAGCTCTGTCGGGGATTAACGGAGATTAATGAGGAACAAGAGCAAGGTTAACGAAGAATAATGAGGATTAATGAAGGAATCGGAGCACGAGAGAGATCTTGTCCCCCGAGCATGCGGGATATCAAAACCACTGACCTTAATTCTCGCAACGCGTTTCCCCTGCACTCGTGACGTGTTTACGCGAACAAATGGCACCTCCCATGAATACCTCTCCGAAAAAAAAAAAATGATTCTTTTAAAATAACTTAAAAAAAAGTCGAGTCTCTTTATTTATTTTGTTTTTTAGGTACCTATAATATTACGGTATCGTCGTTCACGCTTTATCGTACATTCAAAATTAAAGCTTTATCTTGTTTAGTGTCATTGTCGGTATATGTATATATATATATATGAAGCATCGCTTCGTCTCTCGCGCATTATCAAAGTAGATAAATAAAGTTCGAGAGATTCTATCTAAAGTTTAATCCCGCAGCCGCGAGGCGCTATCGAGCCGGGCAAAGGGATGAAACCGCTTTACATTGTCGCCGTTAACTTACCGGCTCCGACAGCCGACCTAGCCCACTTTCCGCCGCCATTGCGAGCGCATTTGATACACGCGACTCGAACCTGTGCCTTTAGAAATAACATATCCTCGAGGCTAGCGGGAATTTAGCGATTGCAGATCGCCGACGTTCCACACTTCCCCGACGTCTCGGATGTTGGTGGACGCCACGTGAACTTTTTCGCTTCTTCTTCCGTAGCCTTCCGTAGTCCACTTCCTGGAAAACGTATGAGAAAACATCTCTGATCACAGACGAAATCGAATAAGTCTATTTATGCCTAGTCCCAGAGGCAAAAACCATTTCCTCTCCCCTTCCGCCTCCCTCTCTTTCTCTCTCTCCCCCTCTTCCCCCTTCTTCTCGTTGTCAGTCTGATAAAAAGAAATTGTCGCCCGAGAAAAATTCTGTGCGCGCAAAATGAAAAATATATATCTCGTGACTGTCCTACTGATGTGACTTTCCGGCATGAGATCGTATATAAGTTAATTGATACAACGCTGACACACTATTATTTCATCGAATCCAGCAATATCGTCGTATTATCATTTTACAGGATTATTAACGGTGAGGAATGATCAGGAAAATTGAGACGGAAAGGGGCGGCTTAGAGCAAAGAGGATTGATGGCGATGCTCGGAACGGTAAGATTATAGGGATGTTAATGGCTTAGGAATCTATCCATAATGAACATGGATTTGAGGTTGATGTAAACTCTGTATCTGTTTGCGTGTATATGTATACGTGTGTGAGAGAAGGGGAGGGGAGGGAGAGGACAGAGAGATAGCGTCAAGTGGGGAAGGAGGAAAATCCAGTGGCAGTATTTCGGGAATGTGTGAAACTGATCTGCCAACACGATGCCCGCAGGATGGTTTATGTTCGGGCATGAGAGCCAGTGATCTCGCCAGTGTTATTAACTGAGGATGACGTGAATGACAGGATCGTATCGCAAACTTTTTTATGGAGATTATGCGACGACAGCGGCAGAAGAGAAAAGATATGGAACGGCGAAAAGTGGACGAGGGAAAGATATAAACGGAAAGGGTGTAGAAAGTCGACGTATGCAAACGCGATCCGCCATTAAATTTACAAGAGATACCTCCTTACTCTAACATGACCGTCCGACTTTGGGAAGGAGGACGCCCACAAGTTTCCCTCCAGACCTTCAGTCTCCTCTGTTTTTTTTTTTATTGGTCGACTTTTATTATAGCAAGACAAACTTCTCGCTTGATAAACATCCGCGTGGTTGCGCGCGTTCTTTAAATTCGAGCGGAACTTCCACAAAAGTGTATGCACTACGAAGAATCGTAAAAATGTATGCGAACTTTCTTTGAAACTATGTGAAACCTGATAAGTTTGGGTGGATCCCAACATTAGTGGGACGACCATTTCATTCTAGCAAAATTTCCAAGTTACGTCGAACAATAATTTTAGTTCCCGGCGAACGAACGTTATTCTACGAAAGAGCTACAATAATAACTGACTACTCGTACTAAGCAATAAACCGTTGTGTTAATTCCTTTACGTTATTTTGTTTTTTAATTAATTATTGACTTTTTATTGTTAATAAAAATTTCTAATAATAATATATAATAATTAATTTAAAGATGTAAAGGATACAAAAGATTAATAACAGAAGAAGATTAGATAACTTATTCCAATAACAAAAATCTCTCCTTTATCTTTTTCTTTCTTGGAATTCTTTGAGATCAAAGTCGAGAAAGGTCTCTATCGAAAGATCGAACACGAGAAGCATTTCAAGCCAATCAGACCTTCCGCGAAATTAGAGCTATAAAATTTGAAACGCGCTTCGATCGTCGTCGCGATTGGCCGATGCGTCAAGAACGGCTCGTAGAACGACCTCGTGCAGTACTTGAAATGACGATCGATGCATTCCCAGTTGACTTGCTACCTTTTAGAACCATGTACATGTACGTCAATGTTCTAGTCCGACATAGAACGCGATCTTATTAAAGCTGTTTGAAGCGTCCGGTTGCTGCAGTTTCTGCAATAAAGCGCTATGAAATTTAAACTTTGGGTCAAGAAACTAATCCAAGATCTTATTTTAAATGCGAAATTAATATAGAGATTAATTACTTCGTCTGGAGCCATTCGAACGTCGCTGACCTCATAGTGTTAACGAGATAAAAGCGACTTTAAAATAATTCAATATCCTATTCACTTTTTACCCTGAACCTTTCCAGATGAGACTTATTAAGGTGATAACGTAATTACGCCAACCATACGGTTGTAAGAGTTTTTGCGAGAATTAATTACGTCGGTTATACCGGAGAGGACGGACTAAAAATCTGTTGATCACGAGAATTCCGAATGAGGAAATAAAAGGTGGCGTGAGAATGGAACATTATACAACGTCTCCCGGATCTCTAAAGGTTAAATGTAACGTCGATACATTTTTAATCACATTTCGTATCGTTCTGGCCATCGGGCCATTCCGTTTCACGGGCGAATCATTATTCGTCGGTATTTAGTTCTCAATGAGTTCGTTCGAGAGGCACTTTCCTATCTCATTGTCAACAATCTCGACTAGTAGCTTCGGTTCTACATGGAGAGAGTGGGAGAAAAGAGAGAGAGAGAGAGAGAGAGAGAGAGAGAGAGAGAGAGAGAACACAGTATTGTGTCGTGCCAAGTGACTCCTCGAGATGACCTACAATTGCTGTTTAAGTGGTCCGGTACGAAGCCAGTTATTACACAGTCGTAAACGGTCGTGTTCAATTTCCTGTCGTGGAACATTCCCCTCTCGAAGGCCCCTTAGGCTTTCCCGATGACAAAGAGCGCACGAGGGATCTCCGCATTTTGAACGGTAAACAACAACGGTGGCGTGCTTACTCTCACTAAGAATCGTGTCGGAGAAAATAATTCTCTTTCCGTAAGTTTCTTCCCTCCCTGTTACATCTCGCTGCCGTCCCGCTATTCAGACTTTTCCGAGAGGTAACTATTCTCCAGGGTGCCAGGAGGTCTATTTTTAACTTATGCCATACGGCGTACGACAACGACGAGAACGATTATTTCTTGTTGCGATCAAGTAATTCTTCTCTTTTCCGGGGCACCGGAAATCTCGTGGTATTCAAAGTTTTTCTTTTTTTTTTTTTTTTTTTACCGAGGGAACGGGAGGTTTGTTAGTTCACCTTCCATTTCCCGCGCTCCGGCTTCGGTACTATCCCGGGGTATCTTCTTCAGCGTGCCACTTTAACCGAGGGAAGAATACCTCGACAGAGGTGCTGTACGCCACTGTCACAGCTCCCGGGATCTTCAGGGTACACAAACACTTAGCCGCCTTTTTAGCTTCGATAATATGAAAGCGCTCATCCCGTCGTCGTCGCGCGGCAAGAGGAATATAATTTTCTCAATTTAACCCGGCAGTATTTATTACGCTATCAATATTACGATAGGTACGATCGAACGTGAGCATTCAGTTACACGGACTCGTGCGACTCTTGTCCGCTGAAACATTTTTTTCTCTTTCTCTCCTCTCTCTCTCTCTCTCTCTCTCTCTCCCCCTCTATGGTTCTATCTCTTTCCGCGTGTAATAGAAATTTCGAGTACTGCGGCGTTTTGATGAAACATGATTCCACTGTTGCGAGATTGTTAAAAAAAAAAAAAAATCAAAGTATTATTTTTACCGACGAAATCCGACTCTATGAAATGTTGAGAATTTAAGCGTAGTGCGTTTCATATATATGAAACAAAAAACATGCAAAAAGATTCGCATAACTATACGAATCTGAAAACGACAATGCATCTTATTAAGTTTGATAAATCTGGGCCGCGGCGTGAAATCCATAAATTTTTACTAAACCTATACCAGAAGTTGTATGGAGAAATATTGCTATCTATCGGTTTTTGGAGGGCTACATTTATACATGCGACTGCATGCATATTGCACGCCCTTTGACCCATGGGAAATATAAATCGCCGCGAAACCGATTCTCTCTAAATAATTAATCCCGTCGTACTGGCCGCCGTGACCGCACTATCGCTTTGCACCGCTTGATCAATATCGAATAACGAAACTGTCAAAAATAAAACGCTAGTTGTCGACTGGGGGTTGAAAAATGGTGGAACGAAGCGAACAGTCGCGCGCAGTTTGTCAATTTTTCACACGATTGTCCCGTCCATCGCCTTGGAATTTGTTTTCTCCGAAAGCCGTCGCGCCGTTGCGTCAAATTGTTCGCTCTCCCTCCCCCTTGTCTCTCTCTCTCTCTCTCTCTCCTATGTCCGGAAGTAGGTCCGGACTGTCCGGAGGCATTTACAGAATAAACGCGCTCCCTTCTATTGATCCCAAAAACAAATTCGGGAGCAGTCCGAGAGTAGTAAAAAATTGACCAAGTGTGCGCGGCGACGCTTTACTCAGAGCCGACCAGTCATGCGCGTCACCGTTTAGTTTACCTCGCTCACTTTAACCCTCTCCGTGCTTCTCTCGAGTTCCTCTATTTATAGAGAAAGGAAGATTTCCATTCTTTGTGAATATTGTTTCCGCACGGCTACGGACACCTCCAGGAAATTCCTAAGAATCTTTCGACGGACGAAACGATTCTTGCTCTTCCGTCGTTTTGCTTATCTTCAATTATACGCCGCGCCGTTTCTACCTTTCCTGTAATGTTTATTTACCAGAGAAATTACTTCAAGCCGAATGTATAGAATTTATTCAGGAGATGTTATGTCTAGAAGGTACCGAGTATTCTTTGAATCAAGAATGGAGAAGGAAACGCTTTCTCGCGAAAAAGTGAGAAACGCGTAGGAACAATTTTTCCCACGCCAGAAAACTTTGTTTTTCTAGAAGAGATAATTTTGAAAAATTGATAACGTATTCATAAGTCGTTTTCTTCCTGACTATACTCACAATGCATATCAATATCAATATATGCATTTATGTGTACGCCAGGTTGGGAAGTAACGCGTTATTTATAGCGTCGTTACCGTCACAATTACTTTGATTCAGTAACGAATGGGTAACGACGTTACATTTTCTCACTTGGACCGTACGACGGAACGTGTTT